GCCACAAGATGCCCTTGCGGGTGTCTCATACAGTCTGAAACTCTGCTATCTCGACATGGCCCAGACGGCGTCAGCCTCGGCAGGCGAGAGAGAAGGGTTCCAAAACCCAGGTTCCATCATACCCTGAATGGGCTTATGGCGGAGAGGTCGACGTCCTGAACACACAACATCAGTAATTTCACGGCTCTACTCAGCTCAGAGTATTGTGATAGGGACCCTGAAACCGTTGTTAGTACGGCGGTTGGGTATCTCAACTTAGATCCCGGTTGGTCCCCCCAAGATCTCCCCCAACTTCACCCCATTCCGGGGTGACCGGAGTTTTTCGAACGTTGTTTGGGGGGTGTGTCCAGGTCACATCTGGCATCGCAAAAGAGACTCGATGAACCCAAAGTGCCATGCAACCCCGAACCACAGGAAGAGGCTCTGAACACAAACCGCTTTCAGGGCCCATCATTTCAGTTCAACCCAAAATGCCAAGCCTGTATCGCGGAAGACATGATAGGCATCGCTGGGCCGATATGAAGCCTGCCGAGGAGCCAGTCATTGGACATTGGCGTTTAGGGCCTTGAGGGACTTTAGGATCTCGTTGGGCATGAGATTTTGACTCAAGTCAAGGTGCTGCAAGCGAAGCATGAGAACTCTCGTGAGTATACAACATTATACACAAGCAAGGACAGTCTACAGCTGGCTAAACCTCACGAACATTGGCAGGTGCGTTTTCACACCTACCATCGCGAAGTCAATGATTCACCTTAGCTTCTTCCTGGTTCAAGTCTCGGTTATTATTCACTGTTCTCTCCATTAATATTATACTGTGTGCTCGTTCATTACAAACTAGTGCGTGAATGTACAGAGAGCACACATTGTAAGTATTAAGGGGAGAGAGAGAAAGGAGAAATTACGAAGAGAAAAAGCGAATTAGTTTTACACGCGAGTTTACGAACGAAGTGACATAATAAGCGAAAGAACGAAGTGAGAAAAGCCCAAATTTTACAGTTGAATTCGTGCGTCTCTTCGTTCCTTACAATTTCATATAATGTTATATGGTCGTTTAAAACGTGCTCGTTGGCAGTAGCTCCGATGGTAGGCCTGCACTATAGGGCTAAGGCTGATTTAGGGCGTAGCCACGAAAAAAACAGATCATATTAACGCATGGCTGTTGAGCTGACCAGGGCGGCCGCTTCTGCGACGCGAAACCCTCAACCCCAACCTCCTCAACTGAAGACGAGTGGCGCCCACGATGAATCCGAAGAAGGATGATCCACGATTCCGCAAGTAGCAAGCTGTGCTGAGTGAGGAAACCGGATCCTACAAGTATAGATTTATAATTCGGAGAAGCCTGAACCTCGCAGCCGAAAGCCCGCAGCAAGAACCAGGCGCAAAGAGTGAAGACCGAAGCTGAATCGGTGCCTCTTTCGCATGAAGACCTCGATGTGTCTCACCGAATCCCAGCGGAAGCAACGGAGAGTGCGCGAGCACCTGGATTGTGGTTTTTGGGATAAGGAGTCAAAGTTGCCGAGCTGAATTTATGCGCCGAGGCCCCGGGCCTCAGGAGAATTCTCAAGTACCCACGCCCTGATCCTCCTCCCAGGGCCCGCGGCCATGCACAGCATTTTTGGCCTAGAATGGGTACCCGGCTAGCGCGGACGGTGCGCCAGGAACATGGGGCTACTGCTATGAGCTGTGGACTTGACTTTGTCTATGAACTGTCACCGCCCTCCTCCTTCTCACCCTTTTCCCTCCTTTCTGTTTGCTTGCCGCCCCCCCACCCCACTGTCTCCCCCCTCCCCGCCCAAATCCCCTCTCCCCAGACCAACCGTCCTGCCTCAGCCCTATAAGTCCGTGGAGTTTGACCAGAGAAGGTTGAACATGTGCAAGCCAATGGCTGGTTGCGGGGAGCATTGTGAGGCTAAAAGCTGGGCTTGGCAGGGGGTTGCTTCACTATGGGGAGGCTTGTGCCATGGGCCTGTCGCGGGTTGCTTGACGGTGGAGATAAGATGAAGCTGTCATCCCAAAGTCTCCCAAGACTCTGACTCCACTGAGCCCCAAATCGCAACTTCACAGCTTCAAGGGGCTTCATGGGCTTATATGGGCTTCATACTTAAACCAAGGTACCGCTGCGAGCTGGCTGGATGGGGCATGGAGTGGACCACCGAGTGATCTGTCACTACAATCAGATGTTACTGTTGTCGGGTTTGGACGACTCACTATGCTTTGCAACTTTACGCGCTAGGATGATTTGGGGGTTCAGACATGCGCACTGGCACCGTATACTGAGTGGCATCAAACGCACGAGATGAGGCGCTAGAGAATATCAGATCGTGTATACATGGTATGCGAAAAGCTTGAGCAGGCCGTATGTACGCGGCGATGATGTACACTCAGCTACTTCTGCATGATGGTTGAGGTTCCTGATACCTGATCAGAGGCCTTCGCCAAATATGCATTTACCTCAAAGTGCAAGGCTGCAAGGCTTGGCTGTAGAGAAACGTTGAAAGTCAGAGAGGTGTCTGAGGTAGAAAGTATACATAGTTGTCCCGTTCATGATGGCCAAAGGTGCCTCCAAGATGGATTGGAAGAAATAGCTGCTTGAAGGCAATGAGGATCAGGCTCGAGGGGGGGTCCTCGATGGGGTAAATGGGCGGGTGGGTGGGTGGGTGGGTGGGCGGGCGATGGGTATCTTTCTTTTGAGAACACTTTATTCTCCATGGTTTTGTTTCACCGAAAAGTCAATATTCCAATCCAAATCCATTTCAATATTCATCGATCCTTCATATGATAATGATAAAAACAATGATAAAACGAATGAAGTAACCAGGTAGAAGAAGGCTTATTATAAAAATAAGGTGGCCAAATCCATAGCCATTATGAGATATTCTTAAGAATAGATCGAATAAGATAGCCCCATTATAGGCTACGGGCTCGGCCGCGTTTTTCGCTCTGCGGCAGCCCTGTCGTATGCCCCCTGTCTTTTTCTGTTCCTTTTGGCTGCTTGTAGGTGCCTTACACAGGATTCCCGAAAATTCCCAGGAATTTTAAGGACTATTCCCGAAAACTCATGGAAATTTTTGGAATTTTCCGGAGCCCAAATTCCCGAAAAGTTTCGGTATCTCCCGACCAGACTTTTTACCTCACTCGTTTCAACCCTAACTCGTCCTTGGACGACAATGAGATGCGGGGTGCGTGGGGGGGGGGGGGTAAGGGGCGTGCAAACGGGGGTGTCAGGGTCGTGTAAGGAAGGTGCGAAGGGGGGTGTAAGGGGGGTGTAGGGTGTAAGGGGCGGTGTAAGGGAGGGTGTAAGGGGGGGTGTAAAGGGGGGGGGAGGGGGGGTCAGGGCGTTGTTTAGGGGTTCGAGGGTTTAGGGTTTATCATAGGGTCTTTAGGGTTTAGGGTCGGAAAATTTAGGGTTTAGGTTTGAGGGGTTTAGGGTTTTTTGGGTTTAGAGTTCAGGGTTTGTTGGGGTTTTAGGTTTTTTTTTGAGGGGTAAGGGGTTTCGGGGGTTTTACGGGAGAAATGGATGATTATAGTTATAGGAAAGGCTTATATTGAGGATATGTCATATAGGCCTGTTACGATGAAGTTTTGCCTTCAACTTAAATTTTGGTCGATAACACGAATCTGTCGAGTATATGTACTCCAAAGAAAATCTTTGAAAAGAGGAGAGTCTTTTACATGTTTGTATTCTACAGAAAATTATCTATCTATAGTTCTCTAAAATGAGGATTGGAGATACTACGATGAAACTTGATTCTGCTTTTTTCATAACTTATTTATTGAGCATTTTCTACGACTCGACGCTCTGAAAGAGCCGATTCTAAAATTAGTCTGAGTTTTGCCATTCTTGAAGCCGAGAATGTTATGATTGTCTTCAGAGCGTGCGGTACCTTCCATTGGGTCGAGGCGGGAGCTTTGAGTATATATTTAGGATGATTGGGATTGAGACTTAGTCCGTCACATTAAGATATCGTATCCGAGATTGGGAGTATTAATGATGCGCCGCACTCGAAGGTTTCGCTTTTTTGCTTAAAATATGATTTGCTTGAAAAAAATGCCTTGAAGGGAAGGAGAGAAAGAATAATTCTGATTGGTCTGTTTTTTGAAGTTCTGTTAAACCCCGCTCTCGAGCGCTTGGTTTGTAACCCCATGTCTATATGGAGAGCACGTCTTTCTTCTGCATATATATACCGCCATAATACGATATTCCTTGGAGTAAATTAGATCATCCTTCTCTATCGAGCTGTTCTGTTTCGTGCGATGCCTTTTCGTCTTTCTGGGATACCCCATAAAATTGGTGGAGGTGGTGGGCTTTTAAGCACGGCGGTCTGTCTTGGAGAGCGCGACATTTATGTTATTGTTCGCGTTACTTCGGGTTCCTGGATTTCACTTATCTATTCATGAACTGACATTCTTTGGGAGGAGAAGATTCTTATGCCGTTGTGGCAGCTGGCAGAAATCCTTTGCCAAAGGTGATTGTATTTCATCTAGACTTCGGTAGACCTCGAACTTCTTCCTACCTTGGATAATCATATAGGCTCTGTATTGATGTTTTGAGGGCTTAAAGGTAGGTGCTGATGATGGAATACGTATCTGATACATTCTTCAGGAGGTGAAGATCCACGCTGGGCGCCATTGATAAGGCGTAAAGATATCCCAAATATCCATCGGCGTAACTTTCTTCACTTTGGCACGCCTTCAAGTTATAACATTCACTAAGGCTCCTACCAAATAGATTGGCTACCAAATAGATTGGCGTCTGATGCGAGCGTCGGTTCCCCTGGGCCCCAATATTTTGCCATTTACGACACCTGTGTACATTTTTCAACTCAGGAAACGGAGATGTTGTCGATGGAATCGACGGGTCCCTCTAGGTTTAACTCCTCAATGACTAGAGAAGTAGATGTTTGTAGAGATACAGTGTTATAATTGAACTTCCTTTGACGCGGCCATCCACCACCCCACCACAGCACCATTGTCGTGCGCTACGAGGTGGAAGGTGGCACTCAGCCATTGCCCAACAAATCGTTTGGGCTAGTGCGGTCGATGTCCCACACCTCAAAACGCAATTCGTCACGGTCGTCACGTCCAGGGAGACCCGGAAGATACAGCCGCTCGTTCCACACTGGCGTAAAAGCTGACACATTAGAGGTCCATGCCTCGACGCCCACAAAAACTTTCACCATCACATCAGGCGCATTGTTTGTCAACCAGCTAGGCTGGTCCGCATCTCTCATGATGCCATCGGCCCGCTCCATGAAAATTGTGAGAGGGAGGCTGGGAGATGCTGTGCCTGCCGCACATTGCCGCACCCACTCCTAGGAGAAGGGCCAGGACCGAGAGCATGTCTGGCCGCTTCAGCATGATTTGGCACTGTTGGCCGGATTGGTGGCGCGTTTTTCAAGCGGTGCGCCCAAAAACACAACGGGTTCAATGGCACTCGCAAGTCTGGAAACAACGGCTGTAGGCTGCTTGCCTCTTCATCCTCTAGATTGGTCCTAACTGCCTAAGCGGTCATCCCCTACTTGGCAATAACAAAACTTGCAAACAAATCAGAATATATGTAATGTGGCATGCATGCTGCGCCGTTCTGTCTTCTGCCTCAATTTTGAATGTTGCCTCGGCCGCGAGCCAGCACGCCAATTTAGGCAGCACGCAAGCAAGTTCCAGCCGTTTTCCCTTTAGTCTTAGTTCTCTTTCGGAACCATCAACCTGGCGACCCTGCAAATGTAGAGTGCTGCCTCGCCGCGTGGTGTTGGTGAGGCAACACGTTTTTGAGGCATGCTTGCGGCAACATGCGGCAACCCGGCATTAATATTTTCAGTCAGTCAAGCGAGATCAGTTCTCCCGTGAGAGCGATGAGGTCGCTTGGATGGCGCATCTCAGTTTCCGCGCCGGACCTTTGCCAAACTCGCCCTAAGGTGCACGATGTTTGAACTGGCTCTGTGCACAGTCTCGCCTGTCAACTTCTGCCAACCCTCTCAGAACCCACAGAATCGTGTCTTCATCTCGAAACACAAGCAAGTTCCAGCCGTTTTCCCTTTAGTCTTAGTTCTCTTTCGGAACCATCAACCTGGCGACCCTGCAAATGTAGAGTGCTGCCTCGCCGCGTGGTGTTGGTGAGGCAACACGTTTTTGAGGTATGCTTGCGGCAACATGCGGCAACCCGGCATTAATATTTTCAGTCAGTCAAGCGAGATCAGTTCTCCCGTGAGAGCGATGAGGTCGCTTGGATGGCGCATCTCAGTTTCCGCGCCGGACCTTTGCCAAACTCGCCCTAAGGTGCACGATGTTTGAACTGGCTCTGTGCACAGTCTCGCCTGTCAACTTCTGCCAACCCTCTCAGAACCCACAGAATCGTGTCTTCATCTCGAAACACAAGCAAGTTCCAGCCGTTTTCCCTTTAGTCTTAGTTCTCTTTCGGAACCATCAACCTGGCGACCCTGCAAGTGTAGAGTGCTGCCTCGCCGCGTGGTGTTGGTGAGGCAACACGTTTTTGAGGCATGCTTGCGGCAACATGCGGCAACCCGGCATTAATATTTTCAGTCAGTCAAGCGAGATCAGTTCTCCCGTGAGAGCGATGAGGTCGCTTGGATGGCGCATCTCAGTTTCCGCGCCGGACCTTTGCCAAACTCGCCCTAAGGTGCACGATGTTTGAACTGGCTCTGTGCACAGTCTCGCCTGTCAACTTCTGCCAACCGTCTCAGAACCCACAGAATCGTGTCTTCATCTCGAAGCACAAGCACACAAGCTCCGGCACAGCTCCGTCGCCGGCTTAGACAAATTGAGGCGAAGTGAGCGCGAAAACAGCCGTGTGGCGGTTTGGGATGTTGGATAGCAAACAGTGTAGGTGAAACTTTCTTGGGGGGCGTAACTTGAAAATGTACGCATTTGTTGCCCTTTGGGTTTTACAGGTGACAGCATGACAAGGCATTGAGCCCGGGGCCGCACCTGCCACGCTGAGCGACATGCTGGCGGTTGAAACCTGCACCACATGCAGAATCAAGGACAAAGCACAAAAAAGCAGAACTTCTGGCGACAGTGCTTGGCCACGAGATTCTCTAAGCCTGGCCTGGATTGGTGATCCAGCCCGAATCTGAGGGCAGCTACTCCATGGAACTATCTAAGTAAGCCCCTGCCAGAGCATGAACGCAACAGGGCAGTGCAGAAATAAAAGCGCATCATCACTTGCAGCACTGTGTGAGTCTGCATGCCTTCAGCCTTGGCAAGTTCTCAGTGCCATGGAAAGCTGCCTTTCTTGCGCAGTTGGAAGCCAAGCTTCAGACATGCTGGCGCTCTCTGCGGACACATGGGGGCCGCATGCGCGGACGTTCGTGTAGGCATCCGGGTCGCCCACTCGAGCATACCTCCAAGCCTCATCATCGACTTGGAGATCACCCCACCAGTCCTCTGGCCACGGACCCTCCCCTTGCCACTCCCACTCCTCCTTTCGCCACTGCTGCCAATCTCGGCTCTGGGCCCAAACGTCTTGTGGCCACATCTCTGCTGAAGGTGCGAAACAAGGTGCGTCGTCAGGACCCTCCACACCGTGAAGCTCCACACCCTCCACACCCTCCACACCCTCCACACCCTCCACACCCTCGCCACCCTCGCCACCCTCGATCTCGAGTGGATTTGCTTCTGCTCCTTTGCCTCGCTTCCTTCGCCTGGGTTTTGTGCTCGGCCGACTCACGGTGATGATGTCTGGCTCACAAGCAAGATAGAACTTCCCTATTAGGTAGTTCGCGTAGCCTTCTGGTCTGTTGTTCTGCGCAGACCAAGGCCCGTTGGGAGGGTTTGGCTTGTTAACAACCGTCCGCTTCTGTGCATACAGCATGGTTGCTCCATCTGCTGTGTAATACTCATCAAAAAAGCTCATCTCTGGCTTTTCGATAAAGGCAGGGAAGGTTGACCAGCAAAGCTGATGCGCTGAAAACTCTACATATGGGCCATGATCACCGTAAACGACACGGTCATAGCCCCTTCCAATTGGCAGGCCGGAAGTCGTACTGTAAAACTCAGTCCAGGCATCTCCAAACTCGGCCAAGCCCAAGCTGTTTTCAACACGTGACCTAGGCACTGGAAGACTGCACCAGTTCCGCATGCTGTATCAAGCTATTCAAGCTTGCCCTTGCAGAAAAATGTAACCCAAGAGGCTTGTCTCGCTGCCGATTCGGAGCAATGGCGGTTGTCGAGAAGACCCTCACCCACTGCCTGTCAAACTTGCGCTGCAGAAAAGTATTAAAACGAAATAGGGCGTGCACTGTGCTTCTAACAACTTGTAGAAACATGTAGAAACCGCAATGAATATTGGGGCAGGCCTGTCTTTTCTGACAAGCGGCATAGATGCTAGCACGTGTCCCACGCCGCTTACGCACGGCAGTGTGTAAAAAAAGGCCGGGAGTTTTGATTTTTTCTATACGACCTAAACCCCCTCCTCTCTTTCACAAAAACGCCGGGGCTTGGATAGATCCGCCAAACCCAAGGCCTGAGCACAAAGCCCCCCCCCCAGCCCCCCCACCCAAGCTTCAGCTTGTCGTGGTTGCGGACTCCACATGCTCAGGGGGCTGCGCTGGGCCAGGCCGAGGCGGGTCGCGGAGCGTTAAATTAGATTTCCAAGCGGTTCTGGGAGGCCCCAAGCCATCTAAACAATGCAAATAAAACCTCTCTTTCAGAAGAGGTGAAGGCCTAGCATTTTTATGGCCGCGAGATTTCTAAGTAAGTAGAAGGTAGAAGAACTTGTTAATTTCTTATGCGCGCTATCGATTCGGTGGCCACACGTGGGTCAGTCACGACTAAACCAGAACCATAGCCAGGCTGAGCGTGCGCTGACGTCACTTGTCACTACGCTGAAAAGCTGCGTGGTCTGTGTGGCGTCTCAAACTGATGCGTAACTTGGGGCCAAATGTCTGCATGCTTACTTTTGTCTCTGTTCAAGCATACTTATACACTTCTTAACCTGAGTCCCAACGCGAAGCTAGCGCTGTGCTCGCACCACATTGGTTTCAGGAGCCATACTTGGGGGGTGGGGCGCCTCATAACGAAGACACAATGTTGATATGGATCATGGCTCGAGGGCCCTTTGTCTCATAAAAGAATCAAGAAAACGGCTTGCTGAGAACTCACGACATATAATCTTGATGGTACTTTAACCTATGTCGACATAGGATGCAAGCTTCTCTACCTTAACAATGAGTTCCTCGGCAGTTTTGCTGTCCCACTCCCTCAGACTTGTTGCCTGCAGGGACTACCGAACCAATGCAGTCTGCGTTAAGTTCCGTCAAGGTACCCTGTCGGCGTTGATGCCCATTGCACGTGTGTGCCAGCTCGACCAGAAGGGCGGGCACTGGCTCCGAGATGGCCACACTCGACCAAGCGGATCCTGTTTGTGGAAACAACGTTTGTAATCTCAAATCCGGAATTTTGCCTTCCATGAAACATTTGGAGTTGCCATTCTTCTTACTACTCGGAGACTTCTCATCATGCTCCTGATTCTAAGTAATTCGTATTTCTTGATGGCAGGCCGAAAACAACGAAAGCCAGCCTGGAACGCCCCCGATGCAAAGCACTTCCCCCCACCCATCTCTTCCGCTTCTCCGTCCCCTCCCTCCCCCTCCACCCCCCACCACCATCCCCATCTTTCATTCCTCTTCTTCTTGTCCGTCTGTCCTTCACTGCATACAACCACCACCACCACACCTCACACGCCATCGGACATCACCAAACACCACCAGGCAGCACCATCACAGACCACCACCGCCGCCACGACGACCACCACCACCACCACCGCCACCACCACCACGCGGCCACCACGCCACACGCCACCACACACCGCCACCAACCACCACATCGCTTACTAATCGCTTCCCCACAATACTAAAACCCCTAATTTCAAATATTATTTTCCCGGACCCTGCCGGCACCCAGCCCAATACTAAACCTGCTACAGAATTAGGGGGGGAGGGGTTCAGGCCTTCGCCCTTGAGTTGAGCCAATAGGGTTTCAGGGTTTAGGGCTGAAGGCTGCCAGGATTGGGATTCAGGGCTCAGGGCTTAGAGGGTTTAATTAGGGTTTAAACCTTAAAGCTAAACCCTAATGAACCCTGAGCCCCAAGCCCCAAGCCCTGTAATTACTCCCTGTGTCCAGGTTTTGGGATTTAGACCCCCCTAATTTTAAATATTTTTCGGGCCCAGGCGAATTTCAGAATTGGGGGGGGGGGGAAGGGGGGGGGCAGGGATTTAGTATTAGGGGGCAGGGATTATGCGGTTGCTTTGCCTAGTGGTGCGTCTTCGCTTACTATGCGTGTTTTGCTACACGCACTCACTCAGACAGACGGCGAGCTGCAAATCCCCGTTGCGCTCACGAAGACTGCAATCCAGGTCCGCGGAGCTCTCCAAATACGCGCTTGAGTACGAAGATGCACGAACACGCGATCTGTAGATCAAGATCCCTGCGAAACCCGCAAGAATACCCAAAGGTATTGAGCCATTCAATACTGAACCCCTGGCCCCCTTCGTGAACCATTCAATGCTGGGGCGTTGACCAGTCTGCCTGCTAAAGCAAAGATAAGCAAAGTTAAAGCTCGCGGCGTCACGGGTGACTGCAAGGGTTTTTGGGGTTTTCAGGGTTTAGGCTTTGCTGGGGTGGGGGGGGGGGGGTTGGTTCCGTCCATTGCCCGGCCTGCCTCACACCCTCTTGAAACCTAACACGGGAAAGGGTTCAGGGTTCACATTGAAACATTCTACGTCTGTCTAACAAGGCTTCCGAATAGTTTTCGCTTTGAGCACCCCGTTCTGTGTCTCCTGGATTCCCCACGCGTGCCATGGTTTGAGGCACCTCAAAGCTGGAAGCAATGGCAAGAACGATGCATTCCTGCAGTGGCCTCAAATACTCGAGGAAAGTGCACTTTTCACAATATGTGCTTCTGTCTGCCTCTGCAAAACCTCTGACTCAAGCCTAGCTACACTAGCTTTCCTGATTATCATGATTGCTTGTATCATTGTTCCTCTTTCCTCTTTATAGACTATTATATATGGTTTCCTAATTGTTGCTGAACTACTTGAATTTGCATGTGCATTTGTATTCGCATGAGTGCTAGAGTAGTGCTCGTGTGTTGTGGTTGTGGGTTGTGGGTTGTGGGTTGTGGGTTGTGGGTTGTGGGTTGTGGGTTGTGGGTTGTGGGTTGTGGGTTGTGGGTTGTGGTTTGTGGGTTGTGGGTTGTGGTTTGTGGTTGTGGTTTGTGGCAGTGGTTTGTGGTACGTAGCTGTTGTGGTTGTGGGTTGTGGTTGCTGTTGCTGCCGCTGTTGCTGCCGCTGCTGCTGCCGCTGCTGCTGCCGCTGTTGCTGCCGCTGCTGCTGCCGCTGTTGCTGCCGCTGTTGCTGCCGCTGGTGCTGCCGCTGTTGCTGCCGCTGTTGCTGCCGCTGGTGCTGCCGCTGGTGCTGCCGTTGCCGTTGCTGTTGCTGCTGTTGTTGCTGTTGCTGCTGTTGTTGCTGTTGTTGCTGTTGTTGCTGTTGCTGCTGTTGTTGCTGTTGTTGCTGTTGTGTTGCTATCGTGTTGCTGTTGTGTTGATGTTGTGTTGCTGTTGTTGCTGTTGTTGCTGTTGCTGCTGTTGTTGCTGTTGTGTTGCTGTTGTGTTGCTGTTGTGTTGATGTTGTGTTGCTGTTGTGTTGCTGTTGTGTTGCTGTTGTGTTGCTGTTGTGTTGCTGTTGTGTTGCTGTTGTGTTGCTGTTGTGTTGCTGGTGTGCTGCTGTTGTGCTGCTGTTGTGCTGCTGTTGTGCTGCTGTTGTGCTGCTGTTGTGCTGCTGTTGTGCTGCTGTTGTGTTGCTGTTGTGTTGCTGTTGTTTGTTGTTGTTTGGTGTTGTTTGTTGTGGTTTGTTGTTGTTTGTTGTTGTTTGTTGTCGTTCGTTGGTGTTTGTTGTTGTTCGTTGTTGTTTGGTGTTGTTTGTTGTTGCTTGTCGTTGTTTGTTGTTGTTTGTCGTTGTTTGTCGTTGTTTGTTGTTGTTTGTTGTTGTTTGTCGTTGTTTGTGGTTGAGTGTTGTTGTTTGTTGTTTGTCGTTGTTTATTGTTGTTTGTTGGTGCTTGCTGTTGCTTGTTGTTGCTTGTTGTTGTTTGTTGTTGTTTGTTGTTGTTTGTTGTTGTTTGTTGTTGTTTGTTGTTGTTTGTTGTTGTTTGTTGTTGTTTGTTGTTGTTTGTTGTTGTTTGTTGTTGTTGGTTGTTGTTCGTTGTTGTTTGTCGTTGTGTGTCGTTGTTTGTCGTTGTTTGTTGTTGTATGTTGTTGTTTGTTGTTGCTGTGTGTTGGTGTTTGTTGCTTCTTGTTGCTTCTTGTTCCTTATTGTTTGCTGTTGCCGTTGCCGTTGCCGTTGCGGTTGCTGTTGTTGTTGTTGTTGTTGTTGTTGTTGTTGTTGTTGTTGTTGTTGTTGTTGTTGTTGTTGTTGTTGTTGTTGTTGTTGTTGTTGTTGTTGTTGTTGTTGTTGTTGTTGTTGTTGTTGTGTTGGTGTTGGTGTTGGTGTTGCTGTTGCTGTTGCTGTTGCTGTTGTTGTTGTTGTTGTTGTTGTTGTTGTTGTTGTTGTTGTTGTTGTTGTTGTTGTTGTTGTTGTTGTTGTTGACGTTGATGTTGATGTTGATGTTGTTGTTGTTGTTGTTGTTGTTGTTGTTGTTGTTGTTGTTGTTGTTGGTGGTGGTGGTGTTGTTGTTGGTGTTGTTGTTGGTGTTGTTGTTGGTGTTGTTGGTGCTGTTGGTGCTGTTGCTGCTGCTGTTGCTGCTGTTGTTGCTGTTGTTGCTGCTGTCGTTGCTGCTGTTGTTGTTGTGGTGGACGTTCAAGGCCCTAAGCCCTGTAGCCCTCTGCCCTTCCTGACTAAAACGCTCCCTCCACCCTGCACATCCTGGTTGCCCTTGGCGGTGCAGTCGCCATGGCAAACGAGGTTGCGTGTCAGGCTGATTCCTATCACCGCCTGGACGATGCCTTTGTCCGACACATGCTCAACAACATTCGTAAGAATCATGAAAAGGAATGAAGTAAAGGCATGAGCTGTGCATGTTTTTGGCTTTCCTTTCCTAGCACGAAAGCCTTAAGCCCAACCGAGAAACCGAAAACTCAAGCAGCAAAGCGATCGCAAGGGCACAGTGACCGTGGAAGAATCGTTTTCAACATAAGCACTCGCAGGATCCATCAATATCACGGTTCAAGACTTACCTAAGCGGCCATGACAGGATCTGCGGAAACCTGAACGGTGAGCTGCCCAGCAGAATTGGGGCAGGGCGATAGGGCCTGATAGGGTTGCAGGTGCTCTCTGTCATTGCATGTACGCGTGCTCGTTGCTGTCGATGCAGCTGTCTGTCGGTTCATGCTGCTTCGCTCCCGCGCGCTGCCTGAACTGTGCACTTCGTAGCTGCTGCAACCTACTCCACTTTAAAGCCGGAGCTTCAAAAATCTGCAGTCCCGGCTTTGCTGCTGGCTGGCAAGGGCCAGATCGCGGATCGCTCGAAGATTTTAGTTCTGGCCTTGTCTCTTTGAGGGCTGGCGGCTGGAGGACCATCTATCACAAGGAGCTGCCAACATCTTGTTAGCAACCTTGTCAGGATGGAAAGCAGAGCCATTCCAAGACCAATTCAAGGTTCAATTTGATCCGATTCTCCAACCTAAGCAAACTGACATAAGTAGATACGCACCCAAAGAGCACCACAACATCTCAGGATAGGGCCTGGAATTGGCCTGCGTGAGTGTCGGCTACTGTACAGATCGACACGCGGAACCTGGAAGGTGACGGTGGCGCTGCTGGGTTCACAGCTGCCAAGCTTCGACGTTTGCTGGGAGATTCTGCATTCTGCAATCACTCCACAGCATTGGGCGCATCCTTTGCAGCTCCGACTACAGCTGCTACGACAGGTACGGCTACAGCAACAACATGCCATTTTTTGATGGTAGTCGCAGTAGTACCTACCAATGGATCATACGAACAGCAGTGTTGATCATAATACACTATACGAACAGTAGGTAGCAGTAGCAGTAGCAGACGTAGCAGCCGCAGTAGCAATAGGAGTAGGAGAGCAATAAGAGTAGCAGTACCAGTAGCAGTAGGAGTAGTAGTAGTAGTAGTAGTAGTAGTAGTAGTAGTAGTAGTAGTAGTAGTAGTAGTAGTAGCAGCAGCAGTAGTAGTAATCGTAATAGTAATAGTGGTAGTGGTCGTGGCCGTGGTAGTAGTGGTAGTAGTGGTAGTTGTGGTAGTAGTGGTGGTAGTGGTGGTAGTGGTGGTTGTGGTGGTAGTGGTGGTAGTGGTGGTAGTGGTGGTAGTGGTGGTAGTGGTGGTAGTGGTGGTAGTGGTGGTGGTAGTGGTTGTAGTAGTGGTAGTAGTGGTAGTAGTAGTAGTAGTAGTAGTAGTAGTAGTAGTAGTAGTAGTAGTAGTAGTTTTTCCAGGGACGAAACCAATTGGACAGCAGCAGCGTAGTAGTAGTAGTAGTAGTAGTAGTAGTAGTAGTAGTAGTAGTAGTAGTAGTAGTAGTAGTAGTAGTAGTAGTAGTAGTAGTAGTAGTAGTACGCGCAGGAGGGGTGTGCCGCCCACAGGCACTCTGTGTCATGGGAGATGACTTCAGATTTTGGGTTTTGGAAGCCCTTTAGGGTTTTTACCGTTTTTAGGGTTTTTAGGGTTTAGGGTTTAGGGTTCAGGGTTTAGGGTTTAGGGTTTTTGTGATTTTAGCGTTTAGGGTTTAGGGTTTTAGGCTTTTTAGGTTTTTAGGGTTTTTCGGGTTTTTACGGTTTTTAGGGTTCAGGGTTTAGGGTTTAGGGTTCCGTTTCTGTTTCAACAAGTTTCTTAGGCTCTGAAGCACTGTTTGCATGCCTTAAAAAAAGCGGGGGGGTTGGGGGGGGCGCAGCCCCCCCCCATGTGAAACACAAGGCTCACACGATTGCCCGCCCACCCCCCCCCCGCCCTGTGAAACACAGCAGGGCTGAGTGGGCGACGTATGAACAAAATGCGTTTTTGCACCGACAGCACTTGCAGCCATGAAACGCTGAAAAACCACCGTTCTAAGGGGAAGAGCAGCTTCAAGATAACAACACGGACACATGTTCAACATCCAATTCCAGCGTTCGCCGGGTGCATTGGTGCGAGTCCGGGAACGCACACAGCCCGGAAAGTACGCGCCTGCGCACTCCAAAGGAGGTTTGCCCAAGGCTTCCCGAAACGGCGCGGGCAGGACACCCCATCTCCCCGTAGTAGTAGTAGTAGTAGTAGTAGTAGTAGTAGTAGTAGTAGTAGTAGTAGTAGTAGTAGTAGTAGTAGTAGTAGTAGTAGTAGTAGTCGTAGTAGTCACTTCCCTTTTGTTTGCTCCCATGTTGTTTCAAAAACGATTTTCCTTACCTACCAACTGAGAATCACTCAGACACGGTTCAGGCAGAGAAAGGACACGCGGCACACGCATTTGCTTCACATAGGCGCTACCCTTAAAGACAGCTCCGCAAGGTCACTGGACACACCGGTGACGTCCCGCAGATGCCGTAGCTGCTGACTTGTTTCCTGCAAAAAAGGGGGCAGGTGATTTTTCACAGCTTTCGGCTTGCATTCAAACAAAGGCTGTGCAGCTGGTGCCAGCCTCCCCAAATTCAATCTCCTTTACAGCTGTCTCGATGGCACTGTGCAGCGTAAGCGCACCGGCATCACCATCTTGTGGACGACCTGTTCGGATCGTTTTGCGCTCTACCTCTCGGCTATTCTGAGTAGTTGTTGGCTGAAACGTTATGGGCCAACCAACTTGCAGGATTTTCAGTCTTTTACAGTCTTTTGTAAATAAAAGTTGGCCTCCTTGCTTCTGCAGCTCTTGCCGGAACACGTTCCTGTGAGGCTCCGAGATATTCAGCAGGTCGGCCAGCTCGGAGAAGCAGTCGACCAAATATTCTCGGCCGCGGGGTTACATCACAGAAGACACGAGGAGGTCAACAATAGAAAAGCATTATGATTGTAGCTCAGCTGATCCCCAACAACGAACGGTTTTACAATGTTTTACGTGACTGCATCAACACGTTGTGGTGAGTGGAGGGCGGTTTTTCCACAGCAAGGGCCAGGCAACACATGGCAATGTATTATCCTCCCGAGCTTCTACTTGCAATTTGCACAAGGCAATATTTGCCATACCAGTCCGGTCTTTAGGGCCCCCCCCCCCCCCCCCCCCCCCCCCACCCCGCCCCGCGCGACCACACTGTCGAGCCACGCAAACGCCGTAGGCTGGACAAATGGAATCCTGGCAGGATCTCCCCCTCGATTCGACGGTACGAAACGGAAACTCAGGGAGGTGACCCCCCTCGATTCGGTCTACAAGTCGTGATATGTCGAAACTTCTAACCAAAAGAAAAGTAAAACAATCGCAAAAGAAAGAACGTGCAAATGAGGCGCAAATCGTCGTCAGACCATCAAACACTCAGATTCATCTTGGGGACGAGGATAAAGTGAAAGGTTGCCATGTGGAGCATTTGTTGAACTTATGAACTGGCATTTGGAGCGTGATAGATCCGTTCATTAGAAAACCACAATCAGGTACCAAGAGAACGGACTCCAAAGGCGGTCTTGAAGTACCGGCTTGCACAGTCTGAGTGTTGCCATGCAGAACCCCCGCCCACGCGATACTTCAATCATTAAGTCTCACACCATTGGTTCATTCTGTGTTATAGAAAGGAGAATGCATGTTGCAAGTACTGCTCACACCATCCCTCAGGCGGGGAGGCCGGCTAGCCTGCTTGGCCAAGAATCTTCGCTGTCGGATTCAAACGAGGCCCGTTCTTGGGCGGGGTGGGTTTGAGAGGGTGGGTGAGTTTGGGAGGGGGGAGGAACGTACAGAACGAAGGGGGAGCGTGAGACCACGCTGACTGGCGAACTCTCCGTGCTCGAAATGGCATATCATGAGTTGAGGGTTGGCCGAGTTCAAGGTCCCTTTCCCTTAGAGGGCCTCTACCAGCTGTTGGCGACGTGCACTGGCAATATGATTGCAGGGCTTGCGCCGAAGTTCTGTCCGTCGGGCTTCATCCTACATAAACCCTACACCCCAAGTAGTGGGCTTCAGGGCCTGGCGGAATAGCCCTTCATGGCGGGGTTTAGGGTTTAGGGTAGGGTTTATTTTGGGTTTTCGGATGTCAGACGACCGGGCTTCTGCTTCTGCATTGGGATGGTTGTGAATTACCCTCTGTTCTGACTTACAAGGGAACCGACTCAGTCATGAACGCTGTTTCCAAAAATTCCACGACTCAGTAAGGCTATAGTGTGCCGTGCAATTAAGATGCTCATCACTCCTTGGACCGCGTGCCCTTGTGGCTTTCCCTCATGGTTGACGGACCAAAGCGAAAATTAAACAAGGATCAAAAACTAAACCACAGGGATCAAGAAAATCAAAGATCGAAAACATAGATGGCTTTAAGCAAGCTTGCTAGGGGGGTTGGGGGGGGGGTGCAAAACACAATGCTCGGACATGGGATGCTTTGCAGGCCTTGCACGGCTAACAACACTGCTCGCATGATGAGTTTTCAACAAGCTTGCACGGCGAAAGAAAGCGGGGGGGTTGGGGGTGTTGGCCCCGCCCCCCCCCCCCCCCCCCCGCCCCCATTTGCAAGACCAATGCTCGCATCATGGGTTTCAAAAAGACTCGTATGCTTTAGGGGCCCCCCCATTTGCAAACACAATGTCACATCATTAGTTTCAAACGACTCGTATGCTTTGAAGCCAGCAACACGGCTTACAAAGCTGGGGGTGTTCCAAAAGTGGGTTTCAACATTCGCATGCTTTGAAGGTGACGGCTTCAAAAGGAGGGCGGTTGTGGGGTGGCGCAGCCCCCAATTTGCAAACACAATTCTCGCATCCTGAGTTTCGGAAAGATGCGCATGCTTTGAAGCAAGCTTGCACGACTTGAAAGAGCGGGGGGGGGGGGGGGGGTGGGGGGCCTGCACACACACAGCGCACGCCAAACCAGCAGAGAAGCCTCCTTCCTTCCTTCCTGCCTGGCTTCCTTCCTTCCGTTCTTCCTGTCCAGCTCCGGTGCGTGCTTCCTTCCTTATTTGCTTGCTTCCTTCCTCCCTGCCTTTTGAAGATACTTGACTTTTGATGCTACAAGCCTGAGCTAATCAGCTAATCCCCCCAACCCGGCCCAAACCGCCCCACCTCAATTCCTGGACTGGCTTATTGGTTCTTAATGCATCCAATAAACATGCTTGCTGCAGCCAGGCAGCTGCCCTTGAAATGCCTGAACGCAGAATCATCGATCTTCCGGGATGTTTTCGCGAACCTTGACAGGCGACCTATGTTTTAGAATCTGCCAACAGACTCGTGTGGACTCGACTCTCCGCCCAAACGACATTGGCATCACAATGCATCACACCACTTAGCCGCTGTAAGTTGCTAAGCCCACGGACAAGTTAGCAGCCTTAGAGTTTAGCAGCCTCTGTGACTTCGACTGACTGAGGTCTCTGTCAAGACTTGCATCCACATCTTTCTGATCTTCCACATCTTTACCATCAACAACCTGAGCGACGACGAGATGAAACGCCAATTATGTGCGGGAACTACATCAGGAGCTGAGCATGTGAGGTGCAGCGCGCGCCTAGAAGCTCGGACGACATGCTCTACAGGATTCTACAGGTTTCTGAAAGGATCCAAGCAACCACTCTCAACTTGCCATCTTCCAGATTTGGTGTTTCTGCGTGCCACTCACCAGGCCAGCTGCTGTCTACGGACTTCTGAGTCAGACCCACTTTCCATAGGTTTTCGAACGGATCATAAACCATCCATTGGTCCGTGTGGCACAAGTTCCGGAATATTTGCCTGACGCACGCAACGCAAAAACAAACAAACAAACAAACAAACAAACAAACAAACAAACAAACAAACAAACACACACACACACACAATCATACACAAATATACACTTTGTCATGACACCATCAGGAATGAGCATCGGGATAGTGGTCCCGTGCAGTGAACACAAAGCTAACAAAAGTGACTCTTATCGTCCCGGAAAGTGCAGTAGTGTTTTTTACATGCTGCTGCCCTGAGAGACCCGCCAAGACAGTAAAAATGTTGATCGCCTTTCTGAAAGTTCTCTTGGAGACAGAAATAAGTCTGTAAAATCATTGTGACAGCGATGCGAGCTTCCCTTGTCCCAGGTTTTCAACAACCGTCCGCTGGTGACATGAAAGGTCCGAAGTTGAACATTCCGAGTTCTGAGCAGTTGCATACCCAGCGCTGCTTTATACCTGCCTCTCGGGCATGGGAGCCTAGATTCACTCTCGGGCATGGGAGCCTAGATTCATTTGTAGCCGGAGGTCCTGCCCACACATATTACATGTCGATGGTTGATTTCAAGCGAAAATCTGCGAAGACAGCTTCCAAGACCGGATGCCTTTCACCTGAGCCGACGGAGCTATCTTGTCGCACGTAGCATCCGTCCAGCCGGTGAACCATGCCCTTTGCACGCACATTCACCTTCAAGAGGCAGCATCGCCACGCAACAAACGGCATGAGTCACAGCCATCGAAGGGCCCAGTGCATGACAAGGTGCGTCTCTCGCATGAATATAATCCGCATGCATCGCTTGGATCGGAGCTCCGCAGTCAGCGAATCTGAAGGCTAATCGGCTAATCCATGCAGTCAAAGAGTCAAAGAGTCAAACAGCAAACATGGTCAACTTGTGATGCTGGAGAATGCGCCTCTGGCAAACAATCGCGATGTCTTCGCTGGTCAGCTCATCTTAGCTGATAGCACTCATCAAGTCTAAGCGGGGCACAAATTTTGTTCCGTTGCCCGTGTGTCTTGGCTGCTCTGGTGGACTGAGAGGCCCACTGTTCTGCAAGTATCTCAGGAAGGAGCCAACAACCCAGGGTTGCAAATCCTGGCCGCCCCACAGTCCCCACAGGCTGCCACACGCCGTGCGGCCACTTTTCGCCACAAAGGAGCGAGGCAAACATCAAAAATGACATGGGACCGAGGGAGTCTGGCCGAGAGGCCAAGGCTTGCTGTTGAAGCGATGTTTAGGACATTTTGGGACGCCTCTTAACGTTTGCCGACATACCGGCCCGGGGCCACGTGGAAAAACTGAGAAGGTGTTTCGTGACTTGAAATGTGATCCCTATGCAAGAGCATCCAGGCCCAAGGGTGCACTTGATTGCACGTGCGCAGGCGCCGCTGATCTGGTTGGCTGATCTGGTTGTATCTCTCCCCGACGCAAGAACCAAAGTGCAAGCACCGTGCGAGTATTCATTGTGGAGTCTCTGCGAACCTCTTCTTCTACTTCTGCGACGCCGTGAGGCCCGCCCCCGAGATAAAGAACCCACACCACACCGCGCAGGCCACCTGAAACCCGAAGCCTGCCCGAAGCCTTACTCGTCGACCACTCCACACCGATCCGATCCTTGAATATCCCTCAACCGGCACACCCTTGAAACGCATTTACGAGCTCGCATCTCCGGGTGTCCCCTTGGTTTAAAGCCGCACAATCCCCACACCACCCGCCCCCCCCTCGGCAGCAGGGCCCGTCTATATAAGTCGTTCGGATCGTTGATTGCGCCCCGAATTAAGCTGTCTTTCCCGTTGACAGACAACTAGTCAACAACAACCACCAGACACACCCCACAAGTCAAAGCTCGCGAGGTGTCTTTCTTTCGTTCTTTCGTTCTTTCGTTCTTTTTTTTTGAAAGGGGCAGAGGGCTCCACAGGGGCCCTGTGCAGCAGCGCGCCCCGGTTTACTGTACATTCTGGTGAAAACTAGGTGACAATGTGACAGGCACACAGCAGCGGACAAGGTCCTGATTTCCCCCGCCGCCGCCCATGTACCCTCACAAGTTCCTTCCACTTGTGCCTTGTTATTTAAAAAACCGAACCTCTTCAGCAAGCTGAAGGCCACCCAATGCCACCCACACCCTTCTCAACACTCGAATCTCTCGTCTTCTCCCGGGCTTGAGACTCTCACGCCATCTCACTCCCCTGCGCTCCTCCTGACCAGTCTGTCGAAGCAGATTTGTGAAGCGTGGATGCCGGGATAGGTCGCTGTGCAACAGCAGGCCCTGCACACTTGGACATGGTCGGGCACCGTTGAGCGCAAGCATGTTGCAGCTACGCGGTCTTATCCAGTTGTGTATCTAACCAGAATCGATTTTGTCTCAACGTTACAACCTGAAGTCAATTTCATTCAATTCCCAAATAAGGCGCATCTGCAAGTCACGCCTTGGTTCCAGCGTTGGCATAGCGGAAGGCTGCCAGCAAGGAGGAGAGAGTAGGACGGCAACCTTGGTGCTGCAGAATGTCGATGATGTCCCACGAGCAGCCCATACCTTGCACGTGGGTCTGACTCACAGCTCGGCTCGCTTCGAAAGTATTCAAAAGACTCAACAGTCATACCAGTCGGCAAGAGGCGAAACGCCGTGGCAAGCATCGTGCTAGCATGGAGCGTGGCCGAGTCAACACCTCAAGGGTGACGATATGCCACGCAGGGGCTTGCCCACAGAAGCAAGCCCTCAGACTCAGGTGAGTGTTCAACTATTCACAAGCCTGAAGCAGGCATGAACAACCGCAAGCGTATACCGACTTTCAGTTGAAGGCCGAGATGCTGGTGCTGAGCTCCAACTCCAAATCAGAGCTGCTCTCCATGTCCACTGGCACGTTGCTGAAACGCACAATCCGCTTCTGGTCCCTCAGCAGGGTTTAAAACGACCCGCATGGTTCAAGAGCACCTGCGTGAAAGAACGTGACAAAACATAATATCGCGAAGAATGCGAAGGCACGCGCAAGCTCTGGCCTATTCCTCTCTCGCTGAGCAGCACAAGCGCCCCAAGTTGAAATGATGGGAAACATTGGGAAACCATGGTTGAGCGACACAACTGTATCCGAGCTTCGGGTTCAGGACTTGTTCTGCAGGTAGCCACGGCTCGTAGTCTGGAAACATCTCAGCGAAGCTAAGGTCTCGCTTCCGAATCGCGAACCCTTGGGCTGCAGGCATGGACTAGGCTCTTTCAGCTACCAATTACCACCTCCGGTAGGCTGCGAGGCATGCGAAGCCTACAGCAGATATCAGCAGATGCAAACCTAAACCTGTGGCTTGCGCCGCCGAGCGGCTGAACGAAGTCTCTGCAACAACGATGGGGTAGACTGCCTGGCCTTTTGGTTCAAACTTGTAGGCCCGACTTTCCTGGGTGCCGTCAATGGCAATGTGCATGATCTTTGCATCAATGTCGACGGCAATGCACAGGGCTTGCCCTGCTCGCCAATTTGTCTTCCATGCATCCGGCTTCTCTTGAGCGTTTGCAAACCAGCTGTCGCCTCCATGCACAAGCCATACACCCTCGTTTCGGTCGACTGTGCCATCACCAGGTCGAGGCGCATAGTTGCCCAAAGCAACTCCGACACTCAGACTTCGATCAGGATCTTCATTCAGCAGGACTTCGCAGTAAAACTTGCCGCAGTCCCGGCAGCCACTCGGGAAGCCCACGCTTCGAACCGACGAAGACTCCCAGCTTCCGAAATCCCAGTAGTGCGGGGTGATGAGCTGCTTCCTGTACGGTGGCTTGCAATAGTGACCCAGTACACCGTTCAGCTTCAACGTCGGCTCGCCAACTGCGTACAGCCCGATGCAAACGTTGAGGCTGCCCTTGTTGCCCTTCGTCTTTTCGATGGCATCATTATTAGCGGTCGCTTCAATTTGGTCAACTTCAAGACGGCCCATGTCATTGGGCGCCTTTAGCGACAGCAGAGGCTGCGACTCAGCGTAGGGTTCAGGGACGAGGAAGATGGAGCTGCTCTCCACTGGCTTCTTCATGCAGCGCAGAAGTGTCTTTCGTTGGTTTCTCAGACCTGCAAACACGGGGCTTAAGAATGGCTTGCAGCCGCCCCACTACTGTGCCCACTTCTGTGCCGTCCGAGCTGCAGGACATGAGGCAGCTACCAAGCCCTAGCTCTGCAGAGCTGATTTGAATATCGCGCGGCAGGCTCCTTATGCGGGGCTCGAGCAAGGCACCCTCAGAGCAACAAATGAATCTGCATTTATCTGCATGGACGTCTGTATTTCTGACTGAGGCACTCGTCGTCTGCCAGCCGTGCCACGAGCCGAGGCACAGACTGAGGCCGGCGAACCCGAGGGAGTTGGAAATCGTCCTGGCGCGCGCATGCGACCGCCCTGCGACCGCCCTGCCGCCACAATCTGCCACAGACTCGGCGGACGTCAGCAGTGAGCAGAAACACGCGGCTCAGAATCCTGCACGGAGGAGAGTGGCCCGCCTTAGCTTGCAGCATGCTCAGCGTGACACGAGCTGCTGCCATGCCGACTTTGCACGCTTCTAAAAGCCAATCCGACCGCATAAGCAAGCATACGGCACAGAGCTTCATGAGCCGTTTCCCATCTTTGCCCGGTTTTCTGACCCCGAGCTGCGTTTCGCATTTCATCCCGATGTGGTCAGTGGTCTGTCAATGAGTGCGATTCAAAATTTCTGCTCGCGACCTATACGGCCAGGGGAGCTAGGGGTCTGCGGAGTCTGGGTGAGTCTAGGGTGCCCTCTTCATGACGTATAGTAGGAGGATGGTAAAGGGATGTAAAGAATTGTTAAAGGGCAGGGAAAAGTGGAGGGTATGAAATGTGCCAAAACGCTGAAGGCTTCATGCGAGACCAGCAGCCCGGGCATGGCCTCAGCAAGGCGACAGCATGGCGACTCGGCGACGGGGCGACAGCATGCAGCACGCACTGAGGTTTAATCTGCCCTCACGTCAATCTGCCAAGTCGTCAGCCAAAAATGTCGGAAGCCATTCTTTCCAAACCTCGGATGCTTTGGACACAGCGAAATCAAACCCCGCTGGTCGCTGGCCTTGGCCTTGGAAGTGACACGTCCTCGCTTTGATCTGAATCCGCTGAGAAACATTATCGCACCAAACGTTCGCGACAGACATTTCCAGGACGTTGAGACCATCCGCCGCCTAAAACTGGCAAACGCCATGCTCTGTGCAAGCATGTGAGGTATGGTCCGGTATGGTGCAGTGGCTCATAAAGGCGACTCCTGGATCCGACCAGCTTGACATGGACCAATCTGACCATCAGGCTTTTCTGCATAAGGCTTACAAGACGAGGCTGCGCATGGACCGAGCGGCTCTCAGCTCTGCCAGAAGTGTCTGAAGCCTTGGCAAGGATGGCCTCAGAACACCGACAGCCTTGAAACAGTAGTGGGATGTGCTGTGTGCTACATGGAGTTGCGCGTGCTTTGACGATGGAGACAAAGCAGCCGAAACTCATCTGATACATGACTGCTCAATTACCTTTCATCGAGCTTCTGATGCTGATTTTCTATTCCTTCCTGGCATGCTTGCAAGAAGCTAAGAAACCATATAATGCTATGTGAGGCCAGGCAGCATCATGCCGTCATGGATGCCAAGCAGATTCCTTACTTAGAACACTACAGTGGCCAAAGCGCCAGGGGCAAATGTCGCGCGGTGCTACAATGTGACCAAGTAATAAATGCCAAGCAGGTGCAGTGCCAGCCTTGGCAACTTGTCCCGGGAAGCCCTTGACACTTGTCGGTGAAGGCAGGCATGCCTTTCATTTCCCATAGTCAGATTCACGCAGTTGCACTGGCAAATTCTGTCCAGACCGCTCTTGCAGGACAAAATCTGAGGCCACTGCAGTGGAGTCCTTTTCTCGACGTTCTGCCGCAAAATGTCTGCTTTGAACTGCAGCAAGGCTCGCACGACGTTGCCATGCATTCTGTCTTCGACGTCTCTGTATATCAGAGTGGGTAAGTCCCCAGTTGACTCGCATGCTTTCCAGCACTTGTCTGTTGGCACCTCATCAGGACTTTGCTTGCCTTTGGTGATGAAGGGCCAAAACCAGTTGTCAGAGTTGTCTTCAAAGCGCCACTGTAGCTCTTCGTCATCATTGGACAGGCGAATAAAGTGGTCGTAGGCGCCATCCATACCATGCATGCAATAACTCAAGCGGCCATCCGTGTTCTTGAAGGGGAAGTAACAACCATGGAACGCAGGCTCGCTGCTCCCGCTGACAACAATACAGCCCACAAAATAAAGGACATGATGCAGCGGTGTGTTCTTGCTCTTGTCCTTGCAGCTCCAGCATGCATCTCCCATCATCTCACTCTTACAGAACGAATCAGAACGAAAATGAACAAGGCAACCTCACCGGTCCTTGATGTTGACATACGATTCCTGCGAATCTGGTGAAAGCTCACGGAGGAGCTCATGAATCATGTCCGGCATCCCTGTCGCCGCCAAGAGGTGCAGGACACCCCACTCCTCAGGGACCCAATGGCGAGATATCAAGAACTCGATCGAGCACTTGTCCTACCTTATCCCCAGATTCCCTGGATGTAGCTGATGTAGGACTACTACTGTACGTAGCTTGGCCTTGGTCTTACTGCGAGCCGCTCGTGGATAGAAACCCTTCTCGACTCAGCACTAAGCATCAGCGCTGAGATGCAAACTGCACGAAATAGCACGAAATAGCACGGAAACAATTCCACAAGAATAGTTGGAGTTTTGCGGGGCCTCGCTGCCGAAGCGCCACTCTGGCCACTGCGGCTTGCTCCTGGCCTCATCACCTCAGTCACGCGGCACATGGTTCGAGGCTCGGTGGGTTTTGAAGCAGTCAGTTGTTTCATTTATTCGTGGTTTCTTGAATGTCGTCCTGAATAATGGAAGCGGCAGATCTTGCTGAGCAGGTTTTCCAGAAGGGCGTCGTTTCCACTTTGCAAGCACCTGACGTGACACGACGCGACGCGCTACGATCTTGGATAATTTTGGTTCCGTCCATCCTGAGTCTCAGAAGCAGCGCCCCGGCCTGGTCAGAATTCCGGGACTCTGCATGAGTAGCCGAACTACATTGTGCGCCGGCAAGACCTCGAAGACTCGTGCTGGGATCTGCTCGCTGCCAGCCTGCGGAGGCAAGGGCTCTGCGCCGAAGATTCGGCTTGGCCTCTGATGCTTACAGACTGCTTATGCGTGAAACCCTTTCTGGTCGTCGACTTCACTGTCAAGAAGTTCCTGGCCTGCGGTGTAAAGAGAAGTCCTTCAGTATGTGGCTGCATCATGACATCTTCAAGCCGATCGTAGAGCTTCTCCTCTTCGATCCTGGTTAACATCTTGCGGACCAAGTCCTGAGAGACTGAAGACCGAAGCAACCCAGAACATTGTGGCTGGTAGATGCTGGCAGCAGTTTCAGGCCATTCGATCGAAGGCACAAACTGCTGCAGCATCAGTGCGTATGCCAGCGGTGTTTCATCCCCTACACCCTCCAATGGGTCATCGTGCTGCAACCTGATGGTGGCCTGCCAGTGTGAAGAGCGGTAGTGACAACGTTCCTCATGAGTAGGATGATCTAAGGTATAGCCGTTTTGCATCTTTTGGGGCCTCTGCCCGCCGAGGCCCGAGGCCTTTGGCGTCTGGTTCAATGGTTCAACCTTCGCTCACCCCACCCTAAGTGGCCGCCTGCAAATGCCTGCAATGTTGCCGGCAACGACAACCGCAACGTTGCGCCTGAAAAACTTGGACCTGTTCGGGGTAGGGGACCCTTTCTCACAAAGCCTCCTACCATAGGATATCCTAGGGATCAAAAAAGCTTGTTTGGGAGCTTTCTGTTACATCGGTTCTTCCACCCTCTTCTCTTCTGGATTCTGGATTGTGGTGAGAAGGCCATCCTAGCCCTCTCCCCCTCTAGGACTCTGGGTGCCGGGACTGATGGAGGTCCCGTGTCTCTGCGGAGCCGAGGCGGTCGTTAGCGTTAGCTAATGTTAGTGTGTATTCCTTGTAGTTAAAACAAACCAAGACCGAGAAACTGCCCATAATTTGGACCGACCCCTCCAATCCCCTAGAGTATGTTTTAACTTGCGTTCCTGACTTTCGCTCCTTTGGCTTCCAACCTGCCTCATTGGCGCGGAGAAGAATCGCCAAACCCAGAAGCGATAACTTCCGCGTGCCAGGCAGTGACACGGGTTCTGGGGCCAGGGGCAAGCAGGAATCTACAACGCCAGCATGGACAGCTGATGCGCCACTGGTTCATGCATGAATGGAGGCTCTCCCCCGAATCCTATTGTCAGACCACTCGACATGCAGTTTACGAAGCTCAAGCTTTGTCATAGAAGAGCAACGATTCAGGAGCAACAAACGTAACGCTTGTTGACTTGGGAATCGATTGCACATACTCGCTCACAGACTCGGGGCCAAATGAGGATTTGCATCATGGACTCATCATGCAGCTTAGAATTAAAAATAGTACTAGTAAAAATGAGAATATAAATCTTCCTAGAATTGATATGGCCGAATATCTCGAACCCCCCCCCCTCCCTGCCCTCGGGCGCAAGATATACATTTACAGGTTTCCAACCAAAAACACCAAAATCAGGATGCCAAAAAGCCCAAACCCCAAACAAAAACATTACTCTGAGACTCTTGGAAAGGTGAAACCGAAACAACCCAGACCAAAAAACAAAGCCCAAAAAACAAAAAAAACAAAAACAAAACTAACATTTCCAAACTCTTAACGTTAAGGGGTAATGATTCCCTTTGTCCAACAGTCTCGGAATACTGTTTTTTTTTTTTTTTTTGGGGGGGGTTCTTTTTTTTGGCTTGGGGTTCTTTGGTTTTTTTGGTTTCATCTTCCCAGAGTCTCGTAGAAAACCAATAAAACCCCCATACAAACCAATAGAACTATTGGTTTTCGATTGGTTTTCTATTGATTTTCTATTGGTTTTTATTGGTTTTCTATTGGTTTCTATTGGTTTCCCATTGGTTATCTATTGGTTTTTATTGGTGTTTCATTGGTTGTTATTGGTTTTTACTGGGTTTCTACTGGTTTTTATTGGTTTTCGATTGGTTTTAATTACTGGTTTTTCTATTGGTTTCCTATTAGATTTTATTTGGTTTTCCACTGGTCTTGCATTGGTTTTTACTGGTTTTGTTTTGGGTTTTATTGGTTTTCTACTGGTGTTTATTGGTTTTCATTGGCTTTCCATTTGTTTTCTATTGGCTTTATATTGGTTTTCGATTGGTTTTTATTTGTTTTCTATTGGATTTTATTGGTTTCTATTGGTTTTTATTGGTTTCTATTGGTTTTTATTGGTTTTCTATTGGTTTTTCTTGGTTTTCTATTGGTTTTTCTTGGTTTTCTATTGGTTTTTATTGGTTTTGTATTGGTTCTTATTGGTTTTCTATTGGTTTTTATTGCTTTTTCATTGGTTTTCATTGGTTTTCTATTGGTTTTCTATTTGTTGTTCGATTTATATAGGGTATGATCGTATAAAATGTATACAATAAACCCTAAACCCTGAACCCTAAACCCTCAAGAGCCTACACATTGAGCTTGCGGTTTACATCGTACATGCCTTCATCATGCATCCTTGCAAAGTTGGCAGAGCCGACAATCTTCAATTTACTTACACACCATTTGTTCAACAAGCGCAACTTACTTAAACACCAAATTGTTCAAAATGCTCAATTAACTTAAACTTCCTGGCTTGCCAAGGCTACAAACATGCAAGCTCAATGCACGCCCTTATGACCCACCCCTGCCTTTTGTTTTCCCCTCTTTGCACTTGATAACCCTTCTCATCCTTCTAGAACCCCGGCGTCGATGAGTTGCCATGCTTCTGACAAGTCTTTTAGCTTTGTAGCCTATCCCTTGTCTTGCTCTGAACCCTTGATAAGCTCTTCAAACTCCCCCGGTGTAGATGAGTTGCCATGGCTCTGGCAATTCTTCTTAGCTTTGTAGCCAATCCCTTGTCTTGCTCTATACTTGCAGATTTGGAGCTTCGAGCTTACAAGCTCAAGACGTCATCTGGCTGAATCCCGAATAACCCAACCCTTTCCCTTTACTTGCCCTAACCTAATTTGAACCCGATGACCCTCCCTCAACCCCCCAACCCCCCCCCCCCCCCCCCCCCCCCCCCCCCCCCCCCCCAAAGTTGCGTTCTATATCATGCCTTCGTCACGCATCCTTGTGAAGTTAGTAGATCCTGCAATCTTCAATTTACTTCATGTTCAAAAAGCACAATTTGCTTAAAACACCAAATGGTTCAAAATGCTCAATTTACTTAAACTTCCTTGCTTGCCAAGGCTACAAACACGCAAGCACCCCCCTATAACCCACACCCCTGCCTTTTGTTCCCAGAAAAATGTGTCTGTGTGTGGGTTGTTTTTGTCTGTTTTGGTTGTGTTTTTCTTTGTTTCTGCTTCTGTTTGTATCTTATAGAGAAATAGTGCTTGCCCAAAACCTAGGAAAATACTGTGCTGTTTTAGATACAGTGTCTGTACTAGGCATATATTGAACTAATACCATATGAAAGAGGCGAGTGAACTTTCCTAGCATTTGTTGATTCATGGAATATCTATTGCAAAATGTAGTGATGGTGCTCGGCAATCTAGACAAATACTGCAATTTTCATAAACAAAATGTTTTTTCTAAGCAATTCGTTCTGTTTCTAGAGAAGCAGTGTTTGTCCCAAGCCCAGGCAGATACGTTTCTACATACATAGTGCGGCAAAACAAAAAATCCGCCGAGGCCTCCGGCCGAAGGTGTATAGGTTGTCAGAACCCTCCCCCCCCCCCCACCCGCCACCCCCCCATGCTTGAGGGGTCTGGCTCAACTTTGAACCCTAAATCCAAAAAACCCTAAACCCCAAACCGTGAACCTTGAGCCCTAAGCCCTCAACCCTAAACTAACCCTCAACCCTAAACCCCAAACCATAAACCATACACGCGGAACCCTAAACCCTAAACCCAACCCTTATTGCTTGGGGTCCAGCGACTTGGGCGCTGCGGAATCACCATGCTCACACGGATGAGCTGGGCCGGGCCGAGGCGGGTCGCGTAGCGTTAAAATTAATATCGTATGAAAGAGGCTAGTGAAGTTTGTCTAACTCGCATAAACAAGCTTACAAATACACAGTTCTCCTAGAAACGTAGAATTCTTAAACCGCATAGACAAGCTTACACATACATAGTTCTCCTCGAAACGTAGAGTTCTTAAACAAAGACGGTTTGAGCACAACGAACATGTGTACTAGATTTGCCTATAAAACAAGCAGTTTTCATTACATAGTATTGAAACACTGCTCACGCACTGATTAATACCACTTGTACGCGCCTATCGCATAGATAAGCTAAAAAAACACATAACTTTCTTAGAAACCTATCATTTGCCTCGTGGAGATCAGTGTACTCGGAAATTTACAAATCCTAAAACCTTGGGAGAATCTCTGGTGAAGTTTGGACTTTGGGGTTTTCAGGTGTTTCGATGCAAATTATGCAATTCTCCTTAAAAATCGTTCTATACTCAGTACATACTGGTTTTGTCAGTTTAGTATGAATTCCTATCTTCAGCTTGTTTTGAATTCGCAATGAAGGACAGCTATTGGGACACACGCTGCAAGCCGACAAGCAACACTTGGAGTTTGCATAACCCCCAAAACGCAGCGGCCCGACCCCGCAGCTCAGCACGCCTGCAGAATCGCCACTCGCTGAGAGAAAGATAATCGCAAGTACAGCAGCTAGGATGTTGTTTTGAATGACACGATGTATTTGTTTACTACGACAGCAGCAAAAAAACACGAGCCTTTTAAGGTGTTCACAGCAAGACTGCTATACCTTCCAGGCTTTTTGCTTTCGGGGTATGAAGGTCACATAATTTTTTACCGAAAGTCGGTTGCAGATTTATACACATTTTGCATGCATGATGTGTTACGTAAAATAGTCGCGTAAATACTGGACGAGTACGATTTTTATCGGTATTTACAGTGTTTTCAGCGTGCACTACTTGTTCTCAAGTGCGTGGAAACAAGCAGAAGAGTAGTGTAGACAAGGGTGTAGATCTTGGGGGGTGGGTGGGGGGGGGGGTGACCGAACAAATAATATTGTTAATATTGATAAATACTAATATAATACGAATATTAATGCAATCATGCACGGGTGGGCCGTTGGGTTCTGCAGTATTCTGTGGTGGGTGTGGCCCTTGCCCTGTCAAACCGTTACCCCCGTTGGTGACTGCAGATATCAGTGTGGACCCAACAGTGTAAGACCACAACACGCACATCACAAAGTGCCAGTCCGCATGATTCAGCCCAGAAGCGAAGTCAGATATTGTCCGGGGCAAACTGCTATTCAAGACCAAGCAAGAATTATCAGACTCTTCGCTACAAGCCCCAGCATGTTGTGATAATGACATGTGTTACATGCACCGACCCAGCACCGGCCTGCCAACGGGAGCAAGGGCTTCAACCACGCTTGCTTCAAATACTTTCGCAGGGGATGGCCAGGGAGAAATGCGGCTGCATCCAGACAGCTAGAAACGAGGTCAAATGGTGTCTTGCTTCCTTCTGCAGATTGGACCGAGAGCATCTCGATCACAGCCCCAGCATTGTCTTCACGGCAGCGGGAAACAAACTCCCGTAAGATGAGCTCGGTGACTTTGGTCAATGTGAAGAGCTCATCTTTGGCACCTTGGCCAGGACAAGCCAAATTTTTGGCTAGCTGGCAAGTGAAGCTGTCTTGAACATCCTGAACCACGAGCAACGCAGGGCATTCTACGCCAATTCTGCTGGCCGACAAAGACCGAAAAATGTTGATGGCGCTGGGCTATGCTAGTCGCTGCTCTGCTAGTGGTCGTCTTCACGTATGATACTCCAGCTATGAGACCCCAGACTTTCAACCGTGATGTTTTCGTCAGTTCTTGCTGCGACGCATGTTGTCCGCTCTCATCTGATCTCTTCTGAAATTGCGATGCAGAGCGCGACGTTTCGAGCATGACTACTGCGCGTGCCACAAGTAATGAAATGAATGTGACGGTGCTCAATGCTACGTGGCTATGGGTGCGGCGCCGTCTTCTGCATCATCGACTTTGTCCTTCGGGCAGGCAGTTTAGGGCGCACACTGGGCGCACAGCACGTCGTTGTTACTGTTGCAGGTGAACAATGACCTTGGGCTTTTGCAGCCTATCTGAATCTATCTTGTTCAGGGTGGCGCAGGCAGCGTTGTGTCCTTGCCAGGTGACCACCCTTTGCATTCCTCCCATTTCCTTTCAGGCGGCCAGTCGTAGCCACTTTGGTACACCTGTGCCGCACATCCTCGGCTCGTCCAGGCTAAGATTCCAGACATGGCAAAAGACACGAGCTTTAGCAAGCGAGCTTCCGGCGTGGACAGCTCGTGCCAGCTGTCCAATCATGTGACAGCAGCTTCTCATGGTATGAGTCAATCACAATAATCTTTGTATTCATTGACTTTTACTTACTTTCATATATGATCATATATGTACGCATCAGCACTTCGGACTCTGTCTCCTTTTCGCTCGGCACGGATGTGCACCTTTTAGGTCTGTAGCCCAGAAGTGCGATGTGCGTTTTAACAAATGTTTTCATCTTTCCATCCAGGGACTCCTCATTCTGAGGGGGAATGCGACAGGGTTGAACCATGGCGGTTCTGGCCCATATCTCAGGTTTCCATAACCATTCCGCCTCGCGCTGGATTCCGCTTCGCAGTTATCTGAGTTCCGCATCGCGGCGCGACGTGCCATGCAGGATGGTCTTTGTCAGGTGGAACGGAACGGTGTCTGAATGGTGTCTGAGGCAGAATGGTCGCTGACAGGCTTCAACTCTATCCGAAGACTTCTACTGCCTCAAACGGAATTCCAACTCTCAAAACAAGATCGGTTGACCATTCCGCATCGCGCCGGGTTCCGCTTCGTGTGTTGGGTTCCGCATCGCTGCGTGACGCCAGCGCTCCTGCAGAACTGTGTTTGTCAGGTGGACTGGTGCGTGAGGCAGAACGGCTATAGGGACGGCTTAGAATAGAGCCTCCGCATGTTGTACCGTATTGCCTGAAGGCTGTACTAAAATATCCCACCTGCCGTGTGGGCACAAAACATACATAATATCTGAATTATTTTGAAGCTCGAGGCAACCTTGAGCATAAAGTGGTGCCAAAAACTAATGCTTGTAGTTTGCTTTGCACATGGCTCCTTGGATCACACTCGCATGCATTTGTTGTGCTTGACAACTTGAGCTCAATCTGTGTGTTAGTGAAAAGTACTGGCAGCCAAGGGAAGCTTAACATGCAGTGCACTAGTTGCTTTTGCTGGCTCCATAGCGCTCACATGTGACTTGGTTTCTGGGCTCTTGTTTTTTTGTTTACATGCTTTCGACTGTCGAGAGCGATGCCATGAGAGAAGTGGAGGAAGACTGTGATCGTGGGGACCAGGGCGGGGGAGGAGCGATGGCGAGGAGACGAGTGCAGTGGGAAAGTATATAACGGGGGGGGATTGTTGCCGCGTTTTGTGGCTGGTTGTTCGATTTTCCAGCTTGACCTTGTGTGTTTTTTGTGGCTGCTCTGTAGCGGTCGAAGATTCTGCACACTCTGCATGCCAAGTTTTGCCTGAGTCGCCAAGACATATAAGCGGTTTGATCTTGTACGGTCTGCCAAGCATCTCCGGCACAGGAGGTGCAACGGCGTCTCTTGATTCGGTCCATTATCGCTCAGCGCCGCGCCATGACTCAGAAGAAGCCTGCGCTTGATGTCAAAAGACGCGAAGCCGCTACGTGACATGTCATTGACATGTACAACTTAGCTACATTAGCGACATGCTGGAGTCTTCGACTTGGTTGAAGTCCGTATGGTGCAGCAGTGGCGAGGGCTCCGGCCGAGCAGCTGCACCATCTCCTTCTGGTGCTTGAAGGACTTTTGCACTGCAACATGTAGGGCGGTATTGCCAGCTGCGTCAGCACCTAAAATCTCCCCCGGCTCAGGCCGCAAGTTGAGCGCTGAAAACTTGGAAACTTGACAGCAGCATCACACCACACGGGTTGCACGATGAACGAGGTAACCCCGCAACTAACTTCATTGCAAAACACAACCGATTTGTGCTTTTTACTCCTTGCGCTTTACGTTTTGTACACTCAAAGCATGTGTACAACAGTCCTTGTTGCCTTATCCTTTTGCAGTGTAAGACTGACCAGAAGTGGCAGTAATAAGTAGTACTAAGTACTAGTTGGGAGACCTGCATGATTGCAGTGCAGCAGGCGAGGACTTAGAGCTCTACAAGTCAGGCCTACCATGACAAATTGCCATAGCGGCAGAACCTGCAAAACAATTCCACACAAAAACTCTCGGGGGCGCAGCAGGCGTTCGGGCACTGCTTGGCTTTCAGCATGCGCTGGGATGAGGCGGGGCGAGGACGGACGACGGAATGCAGGTCACGGATCATAATTATAACAAATCCAAGAACGGAAAGAATTAGTGATTTATTTCATGTCACACCAAACAGCAATGGGGGTGGGGCAGCAAAAGCGGAAGAACGCAGGGTGCGAGATGGTCGGGGGTGGGACCGCGAAAATACATGAGCGCAAAGCGCGTGGAAGGCGAGGACGGAAGAACGCATGGTCAGGGGGCGGGGCCGCGATACCCTCGCTAAACTGAACCTCATCACATTGCGACCGCAGTCGCTTTCCACCAAGGCGGGCTGAGCGACAAGCAAGTTACGCACAGCTCCCACCTGCGCTGATTTGATGTGGCTTGCGAATAGCAGTTGATGGGAGGATATGCAAGCTCCTACTAACTGAACTACCAACTGCTAACTACGAACTACCACTACTACTACTACTACTACTACTACTACTACTACTACTACTACTACTACTACTACTACTACTACTACTACTACTACTACTACTAATACTACTACTACTACTACTACTACTACTACTACTACTACTACTACTACTACTACTACTACTACTACTACTACTAATACTACTACTACTACTACTACTACTACTACTACTACTACTACTACTACTACTACTACTACTACTACTACTACTACTACTACTACTACGACGACTACGACTACTGAGACGACTACGACTACGACGACGACGACGACCACGACGACTACGACTACGACGACGACGACGACCGCGACGGCTGCTGCTGCTGCTGCTGCCGCCACCACTTCTACTTCTAGCACCTCTAGTACTTCTGCGACGACGACAACGATTACGACTATGACTACTATGACTACGACGACGACTACTACTTCTACCTCAGGAATGTGACCATCGCTCTTGTTCGTCATGAGAGTACAGTATTGGTATGCTGAAGCTGACGTTTACCCGTCCGAGAAGGCCCGATAACATCAACTACCATTCTTGCGCAATAGATAAGAATTAGTCTTGTGGAAATGCATGGTCGCAACCTGCATGAAGCCGGGCCTCTCCAGACCGGATCAACTGAAAGAAGGTGTGTCCAGCCTGATTGAAGATACCTGAAGCTGGCACGTAACAATGCTAAGCTTACAACGAAGTCCGGCAAACCAAGCTTAAAGTTTCGATGCACTGGCGCAGAAACTTCAGCAAGGCCACTGGCCAGCTCATGTTTGAGCTCACTCTTGCGGCATTCCTCTTCCCACTTGACGCGGGCGCGGTCGTTCTCATCCAATCCAAGCATTCCTTGGATGCCCCAGCTTGTAGACTAAACCTTCGATTCGTAGGCACAGCTGTGAATTTGCCCGAATTGTTGCCAGTGGCTAGAGGCAAGGCGTTTTGCAACATCTTCTCTTCCATGGCGAAGAGCCAGGATAAGCGGTGGAGTCTGTCAGAGGGTTAGTTGCAGCAGGACAAGCATTGGCAAACACGACATCTGTGACAATGCAAGAAATACAATGATCACATGGAGTATCATGGAATATCATGGAATTCTCACTCAAGTCATATCGCTTGTACCAGTCTGGAGTCCTGATCGCTGCTGGACATCCTCGGTGCAAGGCAGACAGTTTTGGGAAAACGAAGCCCGGGCAGCCTGAAGGGAGCCTTTGAGATCACCCTCTTAAGGGAACTCAAAATTAACTCAACTGCGCTCCCCACTGTCAATCGAGGACTGCTCGGGATCTTTGCAAGCCGGGATGCAGCTTCGTTTCGGCGATTTCTGGCAATCAGGCGAAGTGTGGTGCAATGTGGTGTAAGATCAGCGCTGCTATCGAACGTTTCTATTGGCACGCTAGCTGCAGGTTCCATGCGTCGCCTCTGACACCCTCTCACATCTTACATACATCATGCCTTCAACATGTCTGCATATTCCCGCCACCCAGCGCGCAATCTACATGCAGAAATCAAAAGCTGGTTTTGGCTTTCGCCCACGTCATTCAATCACCATCTTCTGCTGGCCCAGGCCCTCCCTGCAAAAACGAAGCACTGCTGCCTTCAACAGCATAAGTCGACACCACTGTAGTGCGTGCATGCCGTAGCTGAAACCGTTGATCAGGATTGTCGAGCATGTAGCATGGGTCCCGATTCCCCGAATTTCCAGATGAACCCATGTGACATGAGCCTTTCGGGCTGCAGGAGGTGCAGCCGGCTGCCGTGTGCAATGTGCCGCCTTTACCCTTTCTGCTTGAAACCTCCCCTCCATGCCTATTAACCTATGTGGGTACCAATGTTCCCAGCCTTGCGGGATCAGCGCTTGACGCAGCAGGTCCGGAGCTGCAAGGGCATTGAGAATCTCCCTTCCCAGGAAGATATCACAATATATCACGTGAATGCAGAAGGTTGCAACATGTGAACGGCCTCAGCGAGTCAACATCCCCCAGCTTGGCGCAGATCTGCACAACGTTGAGACCGCTCCGCTCCTCGAAAGCATTTTATCCTAGAAGCTAGAGTCAGCTAGAGCAGCTACTATAGGGGCTTTAGAAGAGCATCGTTTCATCAGGAACCAAACATGCGTGGCAGCGGGGGAGGGGGGGCGCCGCGCGAGCTGAAGGAGCATGGCACCTGGGTGGGCATGCTTGGGGTGGGGGAAGGACAAAATTTGTCGGGACAACAGCTACTGAGCCGTGCAAGCGAGCCCTCAACCCAGGCCCCTTACGCCTGCTTCTCCTGCGGGGGTCGGCGGCATGAGCCGGAGGCTCTTAAATGTTGAGGATTGCGGGCATCACCTCACACTTCAGACTTGAGGTGATGCCGAACTGCAGTGACGAACTATCCTGGTCTTGATCCAGCAACTTCGTCAGGATCTTTCTATCCGTGACATTTCTCAGCAGGGCCTCGCCAGTGTGGGGATGTAAAATAGGCAGTGAACTGCTTCATGCAATTAGCATAATAATTAGCAGTTGCTTCAAGTTGCTTCAGCAGTGCCTTGAAGAGTCGGGCAGGCCCCGTTGGGTTGTCGAGCGCAGCAAAGAAGCAGTTGCTCTCGTGCACAGCTGCTGGAAGTGCATGGACCAGCTTCTCAACAACCGGACAAGCATAGCTGTGGTCACAGGAGCTGACCAAGTACTCCAAGCTGGACTTGCCATCTGCATCCCGTTTGGTTAGGTTCATCCAACTGTTTGACTCGGCCACCTTGGCCATGAGGATGCCAACCACTTCGTGGAATTGCTCTGGATCCGGCGCCCTCTGCCCCGGAGACCTGGCAGCTTTACCTTTAGCTTTAGGAATGTTAGGCCGTTAGTCTCATCTGGCCCCAGGCCCAAGTCACACAAAGAATGAGAACAACTCCTCCAACCTGAGCGAAAGAGTCTTGGCCAACAGGTGCATCGGGTGTTCCTTCTTGAAATTCGGTGGCAGTGGCTGCACACCTCCTTCAAGAAGGTACCTCACATGAGGACTAAGCAGGCGACGAAGCGGTCATGTGTCGTGGTTGAGTTCCAAAGCCTAGCTGCTTCATCGTCTTGTATCCGTGGTTCCGGGCTGCGCTATGTATGGGCCGTTCCTGGTTCATGTTCTTGTCCTTGGCTCTGCGGCATGTCTGCCGTGGCACAATGGCAAAAGCAATTCCTCCTCATGGGTACCACCCGTCCTTTTTTTGAGCTCCAAGCGTCTTCCTTGTTTACCTGCCAACAAAGGAAGCGGAAAGTTGCTAAATCCTGCCTGGACAAGTTGGCACCCAAGCTTGAAGATAAGAACAGGTGCCTTGTACTTCTCACACAGCAGTTTGACGACTGCTATGTTGTCGGAGCGGGCTGCCATGTGCAGGGCTGTATCACCTGTAGTTGCGTCCTTCTTCTTGCGCCACTCTGGTCTAGACTCCAGAACAGCATCGAAGAACTCGATGGCCTGCAAGTCGCTAGACCACCCAGAACAGCATAGCCCGGCTAAACAACCACAGCCCATCTGACACCCTACTCGAGCTGGTCCAGCACTTTCAGAATTACTTCCCCGAGTAATAATTAAAGACCTTGCGTAGTGCCAAAACCAAAACCCGAATCCCCTGGATGTCCGCTCCTTTAACGCTCCTCTTGGTAATAGAGAAGGATTGATCATCAACCTACTGGAATGAAGATTTTTTTTTTTTTTTGGGGGGGGGGGGGGGGTTGTTTTGCAAAATGCAGGCGCCAAAAAAACCAGCTCTTGAATTGCTGAGTTAAAATGCCTTTGCTAGCCATGAACAAATCCCGTACTGCCATTCCTCACTAGAACTAAAACAGCCCGTCTGGAGCGCGGAGCCGTAAATCGACATGCCCACGACCGGAAGGACCGGTTCTCACTATCTGAGTCTCCGGCTCTGGATGGCTGGGTTCATTCGAGTCTGCATCCAACGAACCCATCGTTCTGTTCAACATGCGTAAGGACTTTTGCACTGGGCAATGCCATCATGACCACTGGCCTCTTCACCTACACCATGGTGTCGGATGTCGGGGCTGGGAGGGCACTTGCCGGGCTGTTTTGTAGTACATATACCCTTGCGAGAAGTCCACCACGACAGCGGTCGCCGCCGTGGGTGGTGGCGTCGCTGAGGTCTCTGTCACGGTCGGTGTCTCTGTCACGGTCGGTGGCTAGGGAGACCAACACGAACAGAGGATGCAAATAAATTAGAGACAGAGTTCAAGCAGAACAGCGGGTGGATGTAGGCACGAAGAGTGCCGTGATCATGGAGCACTTGTGCTGGTAATGCAGTTGTGCAGCGCAGCTCGAGTTGGTGCCCGGGCCTCCTCCGTGTCCAGAGAGGCTACATAGTGGATGTGCTCGTGGAGCTCCCTGGATGCTTGCAGTTGCTGTACTGCAAAAGGCAACACGTGCACCCAGCCTCTTCAAGACTTCCACCAGCTCCTGCAACAATGGAGGATCTCTTGCTACGGAACTCTGCGAGTAGCATGGGGAACCTTGCCCTTGTCATTCCCCAAAATATTCTATGCAACCGCATCTGTTTGATAGCTGACCCGCTTCGCCTCCTTGTTTTTATCTTTGAAGCTTTCCTTCATATCCTTCAACTTCTGCTTCAGATTCAGGGAAGTCCAACGATCATCCGCCGCTGTAAACAAGCTCCGCAGGTCGTAGATCACCTGATTCCTTTCACCATATCTCGGCAGTTCCTGAGCAGAGAGAACGGAGTCAGCGGGGATGTTGGCTATGCGGGTTCTAGGCTATGCCTGAACATGCCATGCAATCGTCACAGATGCAGAAGCAGGCTCGATTCCAATGATCTCAGCGGGGCATGTGATTTTGGTCTCGTCTTCAATGTCTGACAGTCCATCAATAACATGAGCCAACACGCGCTTCATTCCATACATGGCAGCGTAATCAACCATCGTGTACTTGCTGTGGTGGGGGTTTGAGATTCGAACGATCCTCAGTATGGCATGCCGGCTGCCTGTGCTGTCCCGCAATTTGTTGCCAAGAAGGGGGGAATGACTCGTGTGTGCCCAACCCACCATGCTCATTTACTGGTCAGCAGATTAAGCAAACCAAAGATACCTTGTAAACATTCAAAACTATTCCGGTGCACTAAACGTGTCCTTCTAGGAGACCGGATCCTGATCAGGGGTCGGGGGGAAACAACGTGCTATAACGTGCTGAGCAAGCAAAAACTGCATGCAGGTGAGCCAAGAAAACAGCTTGCAGCCCAAGGCAGCCCTAGCACGGACGTGATAAAAACCGCTACAGTACCTACTGTACATGGACGCTCACCAAAAATCTCAGCTGGGCGGCTTCTGCAGCGAAAGGGCTCTTGATTCCATGTTGGTCAACCATGCTGTCGCCTCCTGGTCTACTTGCTCCACTCTGGCCGCAATGGTCTCTTCGTCCTTCACAAGCAGCCACGCGTATGTCGGAGTGCAGAAGCAGGATGTTGAACAGATGCTGCCCAAAGCTGGTCACTCCTCTCCTACTTGCGGTAGTGTTCAGTCGGCCCAGCGGCGTAAAGGTCACTTTAAACCAACCCTTGTGGCACATTTTCCGATCCCGCATTTGGAGGAGGGTGTGCTAATGGTTTTTGGATGTTTTTGGTGGGACGTCGGCCTTCCCGGACATCCTTCGCTCTCGAGCCGAAGGGGGGGGAAGGTCCTTGAGCAGGGATGGGAAGACTGTAATGCAATGACTGTTATGGACCGTTATGGAGTATTTACGCGGAATCCCAGTTCATGCGGCCGCAGTGAAGGCGATGTGACTTGACGCCACAGTACTGCCTGAATCCAGCAAGAACGTATAAAATGAAAAATGTATGGCTTATACACCCCAGGTGCGTGAGCGGTTGAGCAGTTGAGCCCTAAGTGTCCCACACCTCTCCATGAAATCACTGATTTCAGACTCTTGTTCTGTCAGTCGAAAACGCAGCAACTTCTGTTACAGTACATCTCACGGTTTGTGTGAGCAGTGATTCGAAAGCCCGCGTGCGGCTTCAAAGGCACGGCTTTCGGGAACTAGCTCGTCAATGACTGGAAGATCCTTGCCAGGAATTCCAGCCAGACGGCTCCCCTGAACTACGCTCGCTCCCGTGCAGGGGGCCTTGGGGACTTTTCCTGGCGAAGATCCCAAAACCAGTCGCGCAAAACCCGCAGCCTGCGACACGGGGTCTTGGGAAAATATCCCCCCAATCTAGTAGCGGCTGAGACAACTCTGAATCCAAAGTAGAATCCGCCGAAGCCGGAGGCCTGAGGCGCCTAGATCCAAGTCTAGGGAACTTTCGATAGGTTGCCCACCCGCGTCCAGCTAAGGACCCCCCTACCCCTTTACCCTTCCTTCCCCCCTAACCCACCCACTCCTTCTATCTGATTCTCCTGCCACTTCTTCCTGTCTCCTTTTGAACACAACAGCCCCCAAGCCCCCACCCCCTAATTTCACCCTTACCCCACGTGAACCCTGAATTCGCCTTGGTACCCTTGCCGAGGCGGCTTCGCGTTCGCGGTTACATTAGTTCTACGCTGCAATGTCCTCATTTGGCAGAGCTCGCGTGTGGATCTTCTGGCATATGGAGACAAATGCAGGTAGAATCAGCAGATGATAGGTGCCTGCATTGGGCAGTTGCTCGCAGTGAAGCAAACTGAACTGACATAGATGGTCACAAATACCGAGGCGTCCAAAGCCTTCGTCACTTGCAACATCCAGTGGAGTTTGCATGCAAACTTCCTGCAGGAAGCTGTGGTTGCATGAAGTGTAAGAAAGGTTACCAAGTTTGCACGCTATTTTCACGAATGTCCTTGAACGTGCACCGGTATTTCAGAAGCTGATTGCAAGCATCTCGCAAGCCTCAGCTAAAGGCTCACAATCGACATACTTCCATGGCATTTCCTTGGCGCTCAGCTTACCATATCCAGTGAAGATTCACTTCAGCCACATGCCTGCCTGCTTTGTTGATTGCTAGTTCCACACAGGCATATCCATCACTCCACGATGTCAGCAACAAAACTCCTGCTGGCCGCAGTCGCACCTTTCAATGATTCCGAGCAGCCGTGCTTCGCTGCCACGTGCAGCAAAGTTGTCTTGTCAGAAGTTGCCCCTGCCCAAAGCGTGTGCTCAGTGCACGTCTGCCAACAATCAGAAATGGCCTGGCTCCTGGATGAGAATGTCCACAATATACTTCGATAACCCCCTCAGCTTACACACATACACACACATACACAGATCAAAGGCATGTTGAGCGTGTTGAATGGAAATTGAATTAACTTTGCACGCAAAAAACGAACATGTGCATGAACACCTGCCTGCATCACGGCTTAGCGGGTTTTTAGGCATAATTTTAGATGTCATGGCCGCAAGGCCGGCGCCCATGGCCGGGACCCTGCGTTTTTCTCGAAGCCTGTTCGCTCTTTGGAACAGAATCGTGTTCTCAACGGTCGCCTGGGGGTGACCGCGCTCGCCGTCCTCTAGCTGTCGTCACTTTTTGTCGTCCGGTTTCGCCAAACTGTCGTCGCTTTAGACGTCCGTGTCAGCCAAATGCGAATCTGTCGTCGCTTTTCGGCGTTTGTGTTTCGCCAAATATCGCCAAGTTCGCTGGCTTTGTTGACTTGTGTGCTCACAATGTGGCACTGCTAGGGGTGTACGCTGGCACAATTATGTTTTCATGTTCGAGATGAACCGTCGGGACTTCGTTATGCCCCATTGCCAGTACTCGCTTCATCATAGATTAGTGTTCTCAGATTGTGCAATCCAACCAGATCATCAGGTTGGAGGTGTTGCATGCTGCATTGGTGCCAACAGACACGAAAGAGGGGTGGGCGAGTGGGGTTCTTGCATGTCTTGTGGAACGTTGATTGATTGGACCGACGTGGTCCAACAGCATGCGAAGAAGCCACCGAAGTTCATCCGCATCCAAAATACACACCCAAATCATGTCCTCATGCGGCTCTTCGGCCAGGGATCCTTGCCACGTGGCACGGCCGACAGAAGCTGGCGAATGTTTCTGCCAATAGTGCCCTTCCCTCCTTTTGCACGGCAAAGAGCTTCAAGTGTCAGATGCTGCGCGACTCTTGAACCCGACGAACCCATGCCCATCCGGAATGTCACTAAAAGTCCTGCTTCTCACACAAGAGAGCCTGCTCGATCAGCATCCTTGCTTGGCGTGACATGTGCGAGATCAATAGTGTTTGCTCGAATGACTGCGCCTGTCGGCCTTCCGTCATCATCCAAGCGTCTTGCAGATGCGGGCATGCGGCGGCAAACGGACATCAGAAATGCTGTTGGCATTCTCGTCTGCAGTTTCTCGCACATTGTACATGGCCTCGGCATTGTCCATCGCTCCCAGTAGTGCATGATCCAGGGGCGTCCTGTGCACATGCATGGAAATGTACTTGCCGCTCTGGAAGTCATCAAGATCAGCTGAAACGTCTCGGTTGCCAAAATTCACAGTGAGCCACTCCACCTTCGCTGCTGCTTGACATGCCCCATCATGCCCCCTTAAGGAACTCATGCCCCACAGATGGCATCGTGTGACCCTTTTTTGCTCATATCTCTCTACCTTCGACGTAGGGCCAAAGCTGGGGTTTGCCCGAGTGCTTGCCCGTAGGCTCGACGATGGTAATGACCGCAGGAACCGACATACACTGACATACTATACTGTAGCACCGGTCCAGTGCGAGGAGGCTAAGTAGTCTGACGGCCTGACATGGCCTAGCGGCGTACGGCGTCTCACGCTGGGCAAGAGATGGCATCTGTCGGTCGACTTTTATGGTGCGTCTCATGGTGCGTCCGAGAATCTTTGTAATTCAACATCTCGCAGGCCCTGGCTTCCATCACCCATTTCCGGAGTTTTACATCTCCAACACCTCCTGGATTTAGCATTGATTTTGTGATGTGGATTGTACTTTATTGTAGGTACGAGTACCATACACAAGCAAGCAGCAAGCATTCCATGCATTCCACTCTCATCTCCTGACTCTGCTGACTCGTCGTGGCGGAAGTCCTCCCCTTTCGATGGCCAGCGAAAACCATCGAAGCGCTCCGGTCGCTGGAAGCAGACACGCAAGGTGGCGAACTCTGGGATGTCCTCCTGGCATGGCCCTACTGTATCATCTGTGTCTGCCAGCGCTTCGTTTAGGCAAATTGCGCATGTTGCGCATACTTGTGCTCCACATGCGCATCCCCCATTTATCCTGGCGAAGCCAGTACACATCTTCCGTGGGCGATGCCATAACTGCATTGAATGGCTCCCTCTCGGCTTTCTGACAGCAAAACTCTGGGAATGGTATCTGTGTCAGGCTGTAGTCCTGTCAAGCAAAGGACTGTGGGTCACAATGGGTTGGCATGGTCAGCTCAGATGAATGTCTACCAGCTGCGACACGTAAAGTTGCTTCATGCAGTGCCTTCTGCAGCTGCGACCAGAGTTCTTGCTTGGGAGGGTCCATGATCGTGAAGCGGAAGTCTTGAATGGACATTTGGTCGTAAACGTCAACCTGCGCCCCCTTCTCCAGGAGCCATTCGACATCCTTGAACAGGCCGAAGTATGCCGCATAGTGAAGCAAGACCTGCTTAGCAGTGAACATTCCCATGTCCGAGATATGCACTCAACACTCATGTTATTTTCGATCCCATCAGACAACAGCTGAGAGCCGCAAACCACCCAAGCTCAGCTCTTGGCTTTCCCGTCCATGTCGCGCATGGAAACCAACACTGCAGGCTCAATGCCAAAGTGCATGTAGTATTTGGGAGCGATTCTCTTAGGCGACAGCCGGTTCCTGGATGCAGAGGTGGCAACATGTGGCAACCACGGTCGCGTCAGTTCTATCAATCTATCACGAAGGAGAAGGCCACAAAAGCCTGCTTGCCTTGATGCCTTGCAAGCATAATCGTGAAACAGCAGAAGCTTGGCGAGATCTTTGTTCTTCGAATCCGTGACTCCTCGGGCTGATGGTTGGTATGTTGAGTGCCAAAGCTAACATCACGCGAACTTTGCAAGATTTTGCAAGGCCTTGCAGGGTTTCCCTATCGTTGGCTTCGCTCCTGCAGTTTTCAATCCAGTCGGCAAGCTGTCTTCCGAATCGCTATCGGCATCCTCACGAAGCAGGAGGCACAGCATAACATGCTGCATCATTGACTGCATCATACACTTGTACACGAATTGAAAGTACTACTGCATTACTGTATGTGTCATATGCTTGGACGTAACTTATGATTTAGTGGTTTGCCTTTCTTGTCGCATGGGCAATCAGCTCAGATCAACCCAGTGCAGCTCCTCTGGGACTTCGCAATCTGTGAATGCGGCACAATCCAGTGGTGTCTTCTTGCCATCCGCACAGAAGCCGTACATCGCGCTGTGCGCTTTCAGGATCTTGCACAATCGCAGATTTCTGAACTGGCACGCGAGGTGCCACAGTGTAAAGCCATCGCCTTAATGCTTGTAGAGTTCAGCTTACACAAGTAGTCTGTCCCACTGAGCGGATACACTATCCAAGATTTTCCAGATTTGCTATTTGCGCATGCCGCGCGCAAAGCACTAGCATCAGGACATTTCATAGGAATCCAGCTTGGCTGCTCTTAGCAGTCATCCTTTGCGTGCCGTGGCCTGTGTGCACTGATGCGCACTGCTCTGTTGCCTCGGAGGCCTGGGGCCTTCAGACTTCTTTTTCTCGAGAGATGAAACGGCATCCGATGTGTATCGGTGACAATTACGCTTGAAACAAATGTGAGAGCGGCAGTCGGAGGCAATGTGGCAGCAACCTTCTGGTGTTTAGTCGCCGGACACCTTCGCGTCCAAATTTCTAAACATATGTTGAACATGAACGGGCAGCTTGGAAATACAAGCTCGCTGCCCCCCCCCGCCACTGTCGCAGGAACATTCAGCTTGCCAGGACTCTTCCTCGAGGAATCTGCAGAAAATCTCCACCACCACGGACGCACTACAGACTAAGTAGAGTTTCTGCGACCGAGTTCACAAGACAAAGAAAAGAACAAAAGCAACATGAATCAGACTCCTGGCAGCTTCAATGTGGCCCGTCCAACAGATATCTAAAGATACTAGGGCGGATCTAGGACGGATCTTTATTAGAGTCCTCAATGTCCCCAAGTCGTGATCTTGAGCTTCGAGACCCTAATTTTGGGTACGGTTGGAAAGCGCTGGCATGCTCTGGCCTTCAGGTGCCCATGCCTAAGCTTGGCTCCTGGTTCCCGTGGCCATCAACGCCAGAATGCAAAGAACCGCAAAAGAATTGAAAGATTTGCCAAACCAGGCAGCAGCCGGATAATCACAGCCAGACAAAGATGCGGCCCCACAGCAAACTCGGACTGAGAAGCACTCGCATTTTCGCTGCGCATGTGACGTTGGTCGCAAGTGCCAGGGTGAGCAGGACCCCATCCAGAAGGAGGATCTTCATCAGCGATCGGTTCCGCGCACGACTTGCCAAAGAGGTGCCGGGCTTAAGGGGCATCGCTTGCTTTCGGACGAGTGTACGATGCATGGCACGAGCGCCCGCCCCAGGCCGCCCAGGCCCCATCAATCCGAGCTTCGCTGTCTCTGAAGGCCGCGGGGCAGCAAACGCTGTCAAGCTTTCTTGGCGCATTTGGCACTCGTAGCCCAACCAGCTCCACAGGATCAGAATTACCAGATGGCATCTGGCAGAAGCCATAGCGCCCTACCAACGTTGGCCCTTCTGCTGTTCTAAAGGTCTGGCCTTTGCACCTATCAACAGCTGCAGAGATTGGCAGCATCTGCAGTGGTCAGCTTGACACCCTGTTGCCTCCCATGCCACCCTCAGCCAAGATGCGCTTCGAACGGTAGTTCATAAACTCGAGGCGCTGCTTTGTTCGTGTGGTCTGGCACCACTCCTGTCTTCGAACATCTGGGTGTGGAGGCAATACTCCTAAAACCGCATAACCGATTTCCACAAGTCACTTCTATTACACTTCTGCATTACAGACATCACAAGACAAGATGATGCGCTGAGGGCCGGCCTTCAGAGGCAGATTTGGAAAAAGCGTCACCCACTGCTCGTCGAAACCAAAGCCCGTTTCATGGTCCTTTTGGCCTAGGCGCAGAACACGCAGAATACACAGAATGACCAAAGACCACTGAAGAACGGATTCAATTACATCAATAGGCTGTGGGACACCGTTCCTGAAGGCCTGTACTGTGCTGTTGGCAGGGGGCCCAGCAGCAATCCTTCCAGCGTGAAGCTCAGACGTCCAGGCATTTTGTCCAGCTGCACGCCGTCCCTTGGAACGATTCCATTTACAACTGGCCATGTTGGCTGTTTGCTGCACGCAAGATTTCAGCAAATTCTTTGATATTCTTTGTGCAGCCAGGAGAGACCCAAACACCCCCAACACCCAGCGACCGACCTACCCACCCACGCCAGCACGCCCGCGAGTGTGCATCCGCACACGTACGCACGCGCGCACAGGCAAGTGCACGCACGGCCGTGAGACCTCATCACATCAGTCATTGCAGGACTAGTCTCGAATCCAGCTGGAAGCGGAAAGGGGCCACCATATTCGAAGGTCGGAACTCCAGGACAGTCTTGCTGGGATCTGGGGATGGTGAAACGCAGCCATCCTGAGTTGGGGTACAAGAGTGGTACAAGTACAGCGCTGGAAGAACAGGGCATTAGGACATCAGAACAGCATGACACTTCGCTGCATGTCATGCAGTAATTAAACTTCCGACTTCACGAAGTCACAGAAGTTAACATTGCTGGGCAGCCAAGTAGGTCCGCGCACCGGTCCTCAGGAATTCATACACGAAATTGGGCACTCACTGTTGCGAAGGCTCGGAGATGTTGGGAGTACTGTCTTATTCAAACTTCCACGTTGGCAGATAGGTCTCGAACTCTCCTGGCTATAGGTTTTTGGTCTGTTGGTCGGTTTGGTGGTCTCTAGTTGACTGGTGTTAACTGTGTAGTGGCGAAGCTTTCGGCCTGAACCCGATCCAAGAACGAGAGCCGCAGGAACCAGAAGCATGCAAACCCAAAACACTGAAACGACCACACTGTATATGTCTGTATCCTGGCATTGCGGGTGCAGGGCTTCCTGTTTTTGGCTGCATGTGGCACTGTCCTGTTTTTGGCTGCATGTGGCACTGTGGGGGGGGGGGGGGGGGGGGAGCTTTCTTTGCTTTTTGCGCCGGGGGGGGGGGGGGGGGGGGGGGGGGGGGGGGGGGTGCCAACTTGTGCTTGCGGCTATACGAGGTAGGTCTAGGTCGTGTAGGTGTAGGTGTGTACACTTTGTTCTGCACGCCATGGACAATGCAAAGTTTCCGGAGCTCTCTAAATTGGTAAAATTCGCACCTAGTAAAACTCTCTTCTGTGCTGACTCTGAGCTGAGATCCTGAAGACTTCTCAAGGTATCAAGGCTTCGGGGGCTGCAGGCTTCAGAAGGCTTCAGAATCCGGAGTTCTGGATAGTTCAGACATTCTGTTGTGCATAATCACTTGAGCCCCACAGTAGCCATCAGCTTTTATTTGGGGGGGCGGGGGGGTAGTCCGCGAAGCTCAAGCCCTTGACCTTGGGGTGATTGTAGTGACTAGTGTATGGCAACCTCGAGGATATTTCCGGATATTTCGGTTGACGAAGTACCAGACATTTGTGTTAAAGCCCTGCTTATCCCTGCATATTGTATGCCTCGGAGACATGTCCCAGTGGTGCGCTTTTATCGGCTGCGTTTGTGGGGAGTGTTGTGTTGCTGCGAGTGTCGAGTCGCCAGTCTTTGTACTGGGCCTAGTGCGCGGCGCTAGAGATGTAACCACCACGGGTAAGTTGGCGGCTGCGAGCGAGCTCCACAACCATCCCCACACTGCCGTGCACAACCTCCGTCTGCACATGCACTACTCGAGCGCCCTTACTCAGTGTGCGACAGTGCGAACGTGCTCCAACTTTCCTCTTTTCTGACTCGCTTCTTCACAACCATGGTTTATTCGCATGTTGTCGAGATGTGGGTGTTCGCCTCATTAACCCCGCGGAGTAGCAATCCGGCTCAACTTGTGTTCAGATTTTCTGTCTTTGCTGGTCGTTGCTGTCCGAGATACTCAAAGTCAATCCACAGCACCAGGGATCCAAAACCAGCTGGCACCACCTGCCCACGAAACCGAAGCAAGTTCAAAGGAAAACATGCCTGATTTCATCTGGTTTCCGAGACGCGCGAACCTTTGAAGAGTCCATGCTAACTCGGAACAGGGCATATTCCTCGGGGAGGCTGGCAAGGTGATGTTCGATGTCCTGACGGATGCGACGGAAAAGCATGGAGAACCAAGGCTAGGCTCCTCTACCTAACGCAAGGACTAGCACGAGTAAGCGCAACAATCAAAGACAAATATCTAGGAATTATGGGCTCGTGGGCTTGGTAATTAACATCGTTTCAGACATTCGGTTTCAGGCGGGCTTTCACCTTGCCCTGCAGGATCCTCGAGGACATCGGCAACATCATTTTCGATCCCGAACTCACCTCTGCGACAGGGCTCTTACAGGAGAAACAAGCATGAAGTGCACTGCTAAGTGCACGGAATGCCACGTAACTAGTCAGTTGTTCTCGGTGGATTTCGCGTGTTGCTGCCAAAGCGGCAGATGTCCCAGGCAATGCTTGGAAGATGCCTTGTCACAGCCCAGTTCAGTGGCGTCTTTTTTCCCGAGTCTGGCGAGTTCGCCGCTCGCTGCTCCAGCAGTCGCCGAGCCAAACTGGGTCCGGAGTCATACTGTAGCCTTGCTGCATCTATCCTCGGCTGGCACTTGCGGCTGATTGATCAAAGTCACTTCAAGCTGGGGGCAGCCGTTTTCGCGGCCCCAACGTGAGGTGCAAATCAAGATACTTACTAGTACAGGATCTCTGGATTCGTGGTGGGAAAATATTTCGCTGCAGCGCCTGATGCGCCTGTAGGTGCAGATTGCCGCTTTGAATGGTCCACTATTGGCCTTCTCTGTTCAAAGGTCTTCCTCCCCAGCTTGCAGCACTCCTTGTGTTGTGCCAGATGTTTTGCAAGAGCGGCTCGGGAGCTAAGTTCTCAACTCTTCAGGCGGTTTGAGCTACCTTGGGCCGCTTTGGCTATAACCATAAGATCTTAGCAACTGACGTGGGATCAGGACATAGGGAGTCTCGTCAATGTGTCTCGACATGTGGTCGGCGGATTGCCGCATGGAGTTCTGCCTTCTGTATTATTCGGTCAGGCACAGTCGAGAAGAGCGCACCCTTTGCGGGCTCTGTGGCTCTATGCTGTGCCGTTGGTGCTGTGGGCCTGGGGCCCTCTTGCCTGGGTCACCCATGCTGTGCGTGAAGTAGCGGTTAGGCCTTCCCCTGTCCCTTCCCGAGTCAAGCCACAGCCTTCGTGCCCAAAATTTGCCCGAAACGTCCACAAACCCACAAAAAAAGGTTTGGCTGTGTTTGGCTACCGGATCATGGAATTGGACAAAGAATGACAAAGACAGGTTGTAGCAGCCCAGCATCAAGGGATCGGCCCCGCATGCGTAGTGCAGAAGCGTGGCTTCGTACCCGTGGACCTAACACAACACAGAGTCTCACCCCATCTCACGGTATTTGCAACAGCCTGCCATGCCACCTGCAACTTCATCTCGACGAAGTTTCGCAGAGAATCCTCCTGTTTGAGACGACTCAGCAGCCGTTCAGTCGGTGCACCTGAATAGACCACTGCAGGTTGCTTTGAACTTTGCGCATGCTTGAGAACATGACTGCACGTGCGCCACACTTGCCGAAGATGTGCATGAGCAGCAGCTTTGCTTGCTGTCTTTATTCCGCTCCATCTCTGTTCGGCATTGTTCCGGATGGCCATCGTGGCGAGCGTGAAGCTGCAAGTACAGGCTGCAGGACATGGGCAGCAACTTGAAATATGCGATTGAAAGACGAAGATTTTATCCCTCTTGTTGAGCACTCTTAGTCGGCAGGCATCGCCCCACTGAGTGCACCAACGCATTCGGAAATGGCCTGCAGAAGGGAGTCTTCCAGAACAGCTTTCAAGCTCTTGAAACGATCCTTCAGGGGGCGTTGACTGCTCTCTCGGCTTCCTGGAGAACTGACCTCGAGCCTCCATCGCTCCATCAAGTCCCATGCTGCGTGGTGCACACTCCTGCTTTTGATGGTCGTCTTTGATCTCGTGCATCTCGGACAAAACGGATTCAAAAAAGAGCTTTGTGGCCTGCGGCTGAACGTAGTATGACCCAGCTGGTCAAGATGAATGGCAGATGGAGCAACTGAAGCTAACTGTGTTCCTGCTTGCCCATGCTCGCAGTAAGGACTCAGTTTGCAGCACGCGCTCTACTTACAAAAAACTTTTCTAACGTTTTAAATATCAATTTCATTCCATGTCTATGATGATCCATGGCCCATGATCAGCCCTTGATCCATTGCCCTTTGCGTCCCTTTGCCCTCCTTAGCATGCCGCTGCTCGGTGGCCAGCTCCATGGGCGCCTGTGTCAGGAGGCGAGGGTTGGGCGCCAGGCTGGGAAGACTCACGTCCGCTGTCCGCCTTGCTCTCAGACGAAGCATCCCTGATGTCAGTGTCGAAGTCCTTTTGTCGCAGGAGAATTGCCAGCAAAGTGCCTTGGAAGAGCAGTATCCACAGGTTGGAAGATGCGCAGACACAATTGCAGACGATCGAGACAGCGACACAGAAAGTGCAGTCCGATTTTGGACCATTGTGCCTGTTTCGTTCACTGCCTCTGGCGCGTTCGCGTTCGGAGACACGCGGTGGAGACCCAACACCTCTTGCTCCTGCAAGTGCAATGCTCAATGCTGCTGGCCTTGCACACCGGATACACCGGCCTCCACGCCATGCACGGCTAGCAGGTGGAGGACGGTGTGACGCTTGTTGCAGGCCACGTCCACATGCCTGCTACTGTAGAAGGACACCAGGCCATCACTGGATCACGACTCATCTTCAAAGCCCTATGTTACTCAGCATCCGGGCAACTTTGACATGTTCATGTCAGCGATCTGTGCGTCGGGCAGTTGTGCAAGTTAGTCGGCTTTCTGAATGTATAGAGTGCAATTCCGGAGCCTCGTGATGGTATGACTAAAACGTTTGAAACGGGGCCAGGCCTCACCCCCCATTCCAAGATACGCTTTAGCAAATCGCCTCCGATTCGCTTCATCCGCTCCTGGGGTACGCTGGGTTACCGAAATCTGCCGATGCTGAAGATGTGACGCCTAGGAACGCTTGAATGCATTGCATTTGTTCAGCGCGCTTTGCAAAGTTCTTTGGGTCCTTGTCTTCAAAGCTGTGGCGATCATCTGTGTACTGCCCCATTTCTGTACCTTATGGAACCAGTCAAAGGGCCAGTGCGGCCCTCCCAACTGTATATCCGCCCTGGGGACCTGACACCATTGCTGAAAGGTCTCGAAAAGAAGCACCGGGTAGAAGGCGGAGCCTCCCAGAACAAGAATGGACGCACTCCGGAACACGCAAGGGTTGGTAACCCTCGTATGCTCGGGAATCCTTCCTTTTCGATCACGCGGCTTGTCTTGAACATGCTCGTCATGGGAACAGGCCACGAGGCCATCATCATCACAGAAAAAACAAGCTACATTGCATCGCAAACAGGGGGTTCCGAACAAAAGCTTCAACGCGACACCAAGTTCAAGTGTAAGGGTAGAGGCCACGGGCATCTTTAATCTAAGCACTTCAAGCCCTCAACCAACAAAGAATGGCACAGGCCACTGCGTGCAAGCACTATGGACCGCGCACCAGCCTACGCAACCTGGACCCTTTCAATGTTTCAATGCCTACCCGGTGCAGCCGGCCAACATACACATCACCATTGACCTGCACATAAACACTGCCCGCCCAGCAGAATGATACTGTTAACGGGAGCGAGCGATGCATGCAAGGTACAAGCAAGGTACAAGCGAGGTACAAGCGGATCCCGCTTAGATGCACGCGTGCACCCTGCAAGAGCAGGCGCACTTTGAGTCAGGCCGAGGCATCACCACGAGGATTGGCTAGAAGCGGCTGTATGTTCACAAGATCTAGACAATTCAATTGGAAGGGCGCACTTTCTGATATTTTCTGATGCATTCGTGATGAACTCAGGCTGTGAACGAGAACTTAAAGTGCGGCTTCTGCGCCCATCCTTTGTCATTCTCAAGGTCATCGTGCCATCATCCTGAGCCTTTTGTTTCACTTCTCAGGGGCGCCAAAGGAAACTTATGGTCAAGATTCTGGAGCAATG